ATTTTTCATTCCACGCTCACCACCCTCCCCCAGAACCAGCGGTTCCCACTCCACAGGGAGCCGGTGTCCAAAGACGCGCAGCAGGACCGGGACACCAACCTTGAAAATGGCAGGTAGGACATTGACAACTAGGCTCGTCTCTCGGGCAGGTCCCTCTAGCCAAGTCGAGATGGACGCAGTGGCACCGACGCTGCTGCCGTATCTCAGTAGGTTGTCGTTGGTCCCATCAATGAGCACAGCAAGGCGACGGCGCGGGTCGGCAAGGTCGACGGAGGGATATGCGAAGCGGTCTTTAATAGGCCCCTGACCGGAGCCAGGACCGTAGACGTGATCCCTCGGTAAATTTGAACGTGAGCTGCGAAATGTAGAGAATGAATCTGATCCACTCGATGTTTCATTATAGTTAAGGGTACCGCAATGGTCGGAATCTGGAGATGAAGAAATACCATATTGATGCCTCTCTAAAGGCGTTGAAGTAGAAGAGCTGCACAGACTTGCGGTTGAGGAACTTGACAAGTGCATAGATAATAGAGGTTTAGCGTTTTGCCGCTGAAACAAACGGCGAAACGAGTACATATATATATGTATATACGTTTATTCTGAAAGATTGGAGCACGCTTATGCCTGATAAACCTTCGAACAATCAAGGTAAATTCGTTGATAAGGCCCTTCCCCCCCCTACCCCTTTTGTTTCCTCCCTGTTACTCAATATTGTGTTTAATAGTTTGCTCTGCTAAGTAGGGATTGTTTCCCGGATACCAACAAATCACTCACCTTTTTTTGAAGGTCACGTGAGGATTAAGATAAGGAAAAAAGACAGGAAAAGCAAGCTAGCAGAATAGGAAACTCTAAAGGCACGACATTTTTTTCTACATTATTCATCGAAAAACTTTTAAACCCATTGAATAGAAAAAAAACCGAATTAGAAACATACAACAGATGCGGCTAATAAACAACTAGAAAAAACTCATAAAGAGTTCTTATATAAGCATAGTCTGTCTTTGAACTGAACGTCCAGTATGATATTTCTCATGCTTATGCTATCTGCTTCGACCACAACCTCAATGTATTTTCTCATCCTATCGCACTGATGTATCTCGAACAATGATTTTTGAGCCATTCGAGACTCCAAAATATGCCAGCGTCTGTTGCTCGTTATCCATAGCGATCGCCGTGTCCAGCACTCCTGTGTCACCGCTTTTGAAACTCAACACCTGGTTTATTGGATCAATCTGAAACACAATCCTAATAATTGATTTTAGTTTTGCAATAGTGAGGTTACTCGGCAATGTCTTCTGTACTGTATTAAAAATATCATAATTTCCGCTATTACCGCCTATAGATTTAAAATTATTCTCACACTGTAATGTAACATTCAACATGATGTGAGAACTACCATCGGTACTAGCGGTGGTACCCTCTCTGTAAATGGACAGCACCACGTCCTTGTGCTTCTCAAATAAAAAATCTAGAAGCAAATAATTTGGTTCGCCTATCGCGACAAGCGGCGCTACAGCACCGTCTGCTTCTACTTCAGGTGTCAATTGTTCCGTTTTGCACTTGTCCTGGTGCTCCGCCTCTCGCTTTGCCAGTCCACGTTGAATATAAAATATTTCTGAATCTAGTCGCTCCTTGGGTCGCACCTGACCTCTGTTAAGGAGGTTAATAGTGGGAAGCGATGCCACTACGTACATGCGGCTCAATGTGTCGTTCCAATGGGGAAATAGAGTGCTGTAGGTTATTCGGAATACTTCTAAACATCGACAGAGGACACGTATCGCATCAATAGTCCGCGGGTCGGTGAGGGTGGAGTTGTCCTTCAGGCAAAGAAGTTTGAGTGGCTTCAGGAAGGTGTACTCAGCGAAAGTGTTTGCGTGATTTGTTTGAAGAGTCTGCAGAGTTGCTTCCTCGTTCTGCTGGACCACTTCTTGTGGTAGAATCAAATCTGGCATTTGATTGTCAGTAAGATAGAGGTGTGTGAGCGCAGGGAAGGCTGATATAAGGGCCTCGCTGAGATCCTCAGAGGCCCAGGAGTGGAGCTTGTTGTGCGCCAAACTCAGGGTCGTTACTTTTGGAAAGCGCAACCACGACAACAAAGCTGCATCATCGCGACTCGACGACCAACTCGAACGGAAGATAGTCTCCTCTTCGTTGGTTTCGAAGAGACGATATGACTCGATATTGTTGCTATCCAAATGAAGCTCTTGTAAAACCGGAAGTTCTACCAAAGCGCGCAGGGCGTAAACAGACTTAAATCCCGTGTTGTTGAGGACCAATTTAGTGATCCTGGTCGAGATAAGTGCAAGCTCAGGTGGTGTGTGCGGAACAGTCAGAGTGAGGCCTTGTGCTGCTACAAGAAGCTCTGGCGAATCACTTATCTGCAGCGTCTCGAGAGATGGAAAGTAGCGAACCAGCTTGACAAGCTCAGTGAAAGGAAACTTTGGATTTCGAGAGAGATCTAACTCCTGTAAGCGCACCATGCATGCTGCCTGGAGCTGATCTTTTGGAGATGAAATTGCATCTTTGACGCCAATATCCCGACCCACATCTTCTTTGTTGAAAACCTCTGCTTGCTTTACGGCCACTGTCATTTCCGTATCACGCAGCACTACATGTATAAGCCTGTCGTAGCATGCTTGCTTGAGGCGCGTTTTTTCCATGCCCAGAAGTTCCCATTTCTTGTTACTTTTTCCACCGACCCCAACTAGAAACGCTGAAGGATCGTAGGTTTCAATATCATCGGTACCGTATCGAGAACGTAGCGCATCTAAAAAACTCACTTCATGTTCTTCATCATGTTGAGACATGTGTTACTGCCCTTGAGTATATATATATATATATATATATATATATGTTTGTGTGTGTGTGTATACTTTTTTTTATAGATTTTATGCCACTAGCACTTTTAAACTCTTCAATAGAAGCTGTAAGTTACTTTGTAGTAAATACGAAAAGACTAAAGAAGTAATCCATAGTGAAAATTTTGAAAGGATATAGGCTACATCACCCGTAGGATGCAACAACGAAAACGCTTCGATGTGCATTAGCGCGTATGTAGGGGAGTACTGGAGGCACATTTTCACTTTCCTTCGTTACTGTATATGCCCTTCCGAGTAACTTCTATTGAGGATTAAAATATATGCGTGTTTTAGGACTTTACTGAAGATGATGAAGGGATGAAGGGTAAAAAAAAGATCAAAGGAACGAAAAAAAAGTTTTACACTTTATTGAGCTATAAGTAATGAAATCGCAATAGGCGCATGGGGCTCCTTCTGTTCTGACACATCTTTCAATGCACTTTAGTTTCCTTCCAGAAAACCATCAGCAACTGGAGCGGAATAGGAGAGTGTGTGGAGACGTAGAAACGAAGTATATATATATATAAACTCCTTCTATTTATCAAAAAGTAAATTCGAGGATCCTATTAAAGCAATAAACACTCTAATTTATTGTATTTTATTCACTAAAGAAAATGTCTTTATCTTTCCATAACAATTACCAGCGCTAAAAACTCACAAGGGAAGCGCTTTTTCATTTTTTTGTACTTAATCTTCCAACAGTCTACCAGACACGCTTCTGTATTTGTCTCTTAGTGCCTTCTTTAGAATCCTGATCAGACAATAGAGTACCAAAACTTACGCTGTCTATAATATTTGTTCCAAAATCAGTGAATCTCCGTATCGTAGCGCGTTCGTGATTCCATTCTCGAAAAAATCACTGCACGTCCCATAAAAGTTGAGCAATGCAAAACATGTAGAAATATTCACGAAACACAATGAAACTTAGTAGTTGAATTAAAAAGAAAATAGTAGAAACATATAAATACATGGGCATATATACATACATGTATGACGTATCTAATATGTCTAAAAACACAACAAAACTTACTTTCATAATAAGGAAGCACTGTCAAAAAGAGGGAGCTTTTCATTAAGTGACAGGAGCAGCGGTCTAAATACGCAATTTTAACATCACTTGATATATATAAAAGTTGTGCAAACCACAAGATAATACATTTTCAAAGTTATAAGAAGATACATTGGCACTGTTCAATGAGAAATGAAGCAAATCGATGCCCGCGGTGGAGAAATAGGCATACCGAGTGGGATATACTTCTGACAGCACTCAAAGCCCCCTGTTCAGACTCACATGCCCGTGCTATGTGGTATTTATGACCATCTCCTCGTGCTCCTGGCAGATGACCCGAAGCCACAAAAATGGGAGTTCTTAAAACTAACAAAGGCCAATAGACCAATAATTCCATGAAAATGTGTTTCACAACTCTAGCATTCACACTCTTATATCAAACAAAAGGGAACATATAAAAACAACAACCACATAAAGACAAGTAAGAACAACAAAAGATAAAAGACCACCCTAAAAAAAATGGTGCATGCTGCCGAAGAAAGCCGCTTTCATAACCTGATCTGTAGGATATAATCTGATACCTCATTAGTTGAGCACCTGCAACCCTTTCCTATGAAAAATAATACACCTACCTCAAATTAGCGAAGTGGTAGAGATAATGAAGAAGAGAGGTTCCACCGCGATTGGGTTGCATGCTCGCAAGATGCAGACTATTTAATAATATAAAGCTCCCCATGATGTTTCTAGATACTTTTCCCACAGCACTGTGTGCGTGGACAAGCCCATACAATGACGAAAACGACTAGGAAATGCTGGTAGTATGCATTGCAGATAGGCTATCACTATTTTCATTGTCATCAAAGAAATTTGTTGTAAGGGTGGTGTTTGCAGAGTCAAGGAAGCCGCCATCGAAGGCATGACCGTCATATGTAAATCCGAGAAATTCAACACTCTGCTTGCGATTAGGCAGGCTTTCCTCGATAGCAGGGGAGGACGGTGTAGCTGTCCTTTGGCGCATCCGCTTCTGCCACAGCTCTCGAGGAGATGCAGAGGGGCAATGATTCTTTGTGGGCTTCATGTGCGCATTTCCAGACGAAACATCAATCTTGGATATTGATAGTGAACCCGAAAAGGATGAAGGGACAAAGTCGTAGCTTCGTGATACACCCTCCGTTTGGAATGGTTTCAGGGGTCGGATGGATTTGCCGCTACTTGTCCCCTCACGTACTCGAAGCAAGCTGGACGGCAGTTTAGGAGAGCTTGGATGGGCACCTGCGCGACTGCCGATAGTCATACTAGAAGCGCTTTCATCATCTACATCATACGCAATACCGTGTAGGGTAGTTACATCATTTTGATACGCGTCTGCGTAGACGCGACCCAGAATGACTCCCCACGTGGGATGTGTCAAGCCATCCCTCAGCATTTCTTCATTCTGAGTGTATAAAGCGCTGTCCTCGAGGTTAGAGTTTCCCGTCTGAGGTTCGTTAAAGTGTGGTTCCTGAGCGTACGTCATCCCTTGCGCCGCGTCTACATTCGCGTTCAGTTGATGCAAAGGAAAAGGACCGTGTTTTGCCACCAATGATGAATTTGAAGAGTGAACGGGAATACGCCCGTTGACAAAGTTGCAGGAACAATCTCCACTTCTAGAAAAAGTCTCAAGGTCAGTATTTGCACATAACCCTGGCACAACTGTCTTATTCGATGAATAAATGTCGCGAGAGGTCCTATGCACATCATGGTTGAAACCACTATACGCAGGATTAAAGCCCCCCAGATCCATGCTAACACCCGTAAACAAGCTTTCCGAAGAGGTACCACTACCACTGCTACTGCCACTAATACTACTCTGAGTTCGATCATGCTCTACCTCATCGACAAAAGACTTCGTAGCACTGACTATCGAGTCCTTTTGTGATGCGTTCTCATTGTGGTCGCAGCTACTACTGTTGTTCTCATCATCACCTATAAAACCCTTCCCTCCTAAGGGATGTTCTCTCTTCATATGATGCGTGCTCGCTCCGTCAAGCAAGCGGAAAGTGCTGAGGCCTGAAACTTCATCACTAATGTCCTCAAGGCTTGCCGTTTCCGTAGAGACAGTATTTTTTTTCTTAGGCTTGATACATTGTACATGCAAACCCTCGCCCTTGTTCTCACCGCTCCAACTGCCACTATGAGGCATGCAGTGGAAATCCTTCGAGTCCTCTGCTGTTGTGAAACCTTCGTGTAAAAGTATGTCATCCATCATTGGTGGCGTCTCTTCTGTGGCGTTGCAGTCATAGTATCCGCCACTACTATCGTGGTGGATTGGTGCACTGCTGCGCTCCTCTCCATTCGCCTCCTCGATTGGTAGCATCTCGCTGTCATCTTCGGCTACTAAACTCGGATTGTGTGACGAGCCCGAAACCTCTGGCGGCTCTCCTTTAGGATTTTTGTTCTGTTCCATTCGTATCTGACCCGCGACGATGGCAGCAGCCACAAAGTCCTCAGGCAAGACCGCAGTACGCGCAAAGATATCCTCAGACGTGAAGCCTCGAGTGCTTGTCTTACTTATATCCGAGTCGTCTATAAGAAGTCTGGAGGGGTATCCGATTGTCGCGCTTTCTTGAGATTTTTGGCGTTTGCCCCGAGTCTCACATAGAGGATCGCCTGAAGAAAAAGAGCCACCGGCATCAACGCCTCCAGCGCCAACTGTACCCAAGCTAAAGGAACGACAGTTTCCACCGACATCACGTCTCTGAGTTCCTGTTATTTTTGGAAGTGCAAAAGGGATCCCACATTGTCTTTTTCCTACATTCAGACTGCCTTTATTGTCCTCGAGTGCATCAGCAGTTGCTGCGATGCTTTCCCCAAGAAAATCTTTATCGGTAATGGTGCAAATACCAGTTATGCTTGGCTGAATTTGAGCGCTCAGAAGGGGTGGATCGGCGTGGTGTGAGGAGGACGGCTTTATAGCAACCGCTTCACGCACAACTGTCTTGGGATTACTAACGCAGCAAAAGTTACTGCTGCACTCAGCCAATTGCGCAAAATCATCTACACCCAGAGACTGTTCTTTGCTGGATGGTTGGCACTGTGTCTGAAACGCATGTGGGGAAGAAGCATCAGGAGTGTTTACAATCTCTTCATCAAACGCAGCGGTTGCATTTGCATTCCCGTCTAAATCCGTATTATTGTCTTTTCGATTTACGTTGTGGCATAGTCTCGACATAACACCAGGACTCCTACTCGTATGTGGCAGCACAGGGTCGAAATTAAGTAATTCGTCAGAAGTCCCTTGCACGTTTAAGTTGAACCCCTCGTGCTTCTTATGTTGTAAGCATGTTTTTGTGTCGCCGTCATAAGAATGTGTCACCACTTGTCGCATAGTCTGACGCCGAAGTTCCTTCATCTCGTTTCTAGCTTCTTTGATACGCTTGTGCTGTTCCACAGCGGCTCTCAAACCTGTTGCGGTAACGGCCGACGGAAAGTAGCGCAGGTCATCTCTGGAACGTAACTTTGGTACGTATAAAGCTTTAATTTTCATTGTTGAGAAAAGTTCTGCCCAGTTTTCTGGGCGCTGTATAACGGGCATACGCTCTAAGAACATCTCTGCAGACATGACATTAGATGTAGAAGAAAAAACGATCGATCCGATTTGCTCCTCTCGTTGTGGAATTTCAGAAGTTCTGCCGAACGCCGAAGAAACATTATTGGTTCCTTTCATCCGCATGCCGCGAGTGGGGTAAACGCTATCATATAACTGGGAGGTAATATATCTGCAGGCAAAGAAAGGGTGTTCCAATACCATAGGCCCACACAGTCGTTTCCCCATATCACGATTCAGCAGACCAAGGATAAGATCGCGGAGGAGGAGGTTAGCTTCAAGAAGCTCCATGAGGGCATGTCGAACAAAGGTGTCGCATACCCGCGGTGCCATTGTCAAGGGGGTGGAGTGCGTACCTAACAACGTAGAAGTCGACGACACGCTTTGCTTTCTAGTGGCGAAGACTTGGGAACGCCGCGCGTGTGCCTCGACAGGTGTACCGGCCCACGAAGGTATTTGAGGATTTCTATCAGTAGAGCTACTCACTGAATGGAAACTATGTAATAGATAGGAGTGTATGTTTTGCCTCTGACCAGTCTGAATCGAAGCCCCTTCTGTTTCCCCATCGGTGGCAGAAGTGTGTGCGAGGGAATCACCGCAAGGCAAAGTTTTCTGTTCTTCCTGCGGGTGTGAATGGGTACTGAGTTTATGCTCACAAACAAGCTCCTGATAACGAAGGCGGAGCTTCTCCACTCGACAGTGAAGCTCTAACGCAGTTACCTGAAAATCGGTTTCTATAACGCGCACGTTTTCCTCAATAATAGATTTGAAAAGCGCAAACTGACTGTCGCCATCAAATGGCTTGCGCCCATTAGCCCATTCGAAAAGAAGACAACCGTAGCTCCACCAGTCAGTACGGGTATCATGGGGAATCCCTTGTAGCATTTCTGGGCTCATATACTCCACAGTACCAGTAAAGCTCGTGGCACGCTCCTCAGCATTGTCATCACTAGAAGCAGAAAATTCACCATTACAGGATGGACTTGTTTGGCTTATTGGCTTCTCAACACGTCCCACCCCACTTTCTTCCTCTGCAACTGATTGATTTGACTTCTTCATAATGTCTGAATCATCTATAGTATTTTTTCTAAGCTTGGCGACACCGAAATCTGTTAAGAGAATATGTCCACTTTGTCGCAATAGGATGTTTTCAGGTTTGAGATCACGATAGATAAAGCCCTTACTGTGAAGGTACTGCAACACCAGGGCAATTTCTATTGCGTAGAAAGCGATGTACCGGATTGGCAAACGTGAGGCATTGTCAGCAAGCGGTGGCATGGCCACAGTGCTTCCTTCCATGTCTTCGTGCACACATTCAGTCGCACCATCATCTTGAACATGCGGACTGAAATCAGTTAATAAAGGAGCTGATGAAAATAATGAAGTTGCATCGACGCTGACTTCAAAATGCGCGTCGGCTACGCGAGATGGTGCGTTTGTAGAGCCAAAAGATCGACGAGCGTGATTGCAGTAGGACTCAACAGAGTCCTCTGATACCATATTGGGGTCTAATGCAGCTTGTAAAGCCTTAGAATTAGGATACTGCTGTGAGTCACCCAGGGAATGTGTACGGTGATTGTGTTCTTCCTCGTGGCTATCAAACAATGGGTCTCTGTGCGATTCCTCCTTCGGCTTGTAGTGGTGATAGTGTTGATGTTTTTTTATTGGTTTTGCTTCATGGACACGTTCAGTTATATCACCTATAGAGGCATCTCTATGCGGTAAATTTTTAAGACTACGTTGATCCTCTGGAGCTCTTTTCTCGGACTCACCCACAGCGGTGTACCGATATAGAGGCGGTGCGCTGGAGTTGGTACCGATATGTTCACAAGCAAGATTGTAATTTTGATAGTACGAAAAACGATTCGAAATGCTAAGAGACGAAGGGGATTCTGTCTTCTTCAGAAACTGTTGCTTTGTGTGAGCGCTTTCCTTGTTGATATTCTTATCATTGGCTACACTAAAAGCAATGACGTCCTCCTCCTGATCATTGACTGTTTGCGGGGAGATGTGTCTGATCGTGTTATTAGTACTTTCGAAGATGGAGACATTCATGCTCTTCCCAGTGGTATGAAAGTTCCCATCATGGCCAGATAACACGGAGGCCGCACTTCTTTCTATAGTAAGGGTTCGCCCCAAAGGATCGATAAGATTTTGGGACATGCAGCAAGGATAACGTGACCTCCTAATCTCATACTTCATCTCTTTTACCCAACGCTTTTCAAGGTTGAAGTAGTACAAGTCTCCACCCTGGGCAAAATCCAAAACCAAGTACAGGTGCGTTCGCGTCTGGAAAGCCTGATAGAGGCGTACGAGAAAAGGATGATGTAGCGCAACAAGCATTTTGCGCTCCATAAAGGTGTGCTCTACGAAACCCCCCTTTCGAACTTTCTCTTTCGATATCTTTTTAATCGCGTACAACTCATTGTTGACCTTGTGCCGAGCAAGCGTGACTTCGGAGAAAGTTCCAGAGCCGATGTATGCAACCAGCTCATATGCCTGCAGAGACCGCGCGGCGGAGCTAATAGGATGATCCCGAGCAACTTTTCTACAAGATACGCTCCCCCCGGTGGAGGAGGTACCGGCTAACGACTCCGAAGGACTCGTTACGACTTCACTCACAGAATTATTTTGAGCTCTAGTTGTTGCTGCAGTAACCGTTTCCAAGGTCTGGTGTGCCAATAACTTACGAAGGTGGTCCGTCCTCCCAGTAATGACATCATCTAGGAAGTCAGCGACACCGTTCTCGATGAAGGGTTGGTCGACATCTTCACCACGATATGTCTGATGGAGTTCATGAGTTTCGGCTACGGTTTTGGATCCTGCGAGTTGAGTATCACAACTTTCTTCGCGTTTAATTATGTTGGTGTCATCCCCTAAAACACTCCAGCAGCAAGGTTCATCGAACGGAAGGCCATGAGCACCTTCATCACTGAAGCTCGGCTTTGAGTGTAGATTATATGATGGCATTAGCATTGGAGAGCGAAAGCCACTGCTGTTGCTACATTCGTTGCAGCCATTCATGTTTTTTGAATCGAGTTCACAAGAAGGAAAAGGCTCCCCTGCACTTTTTGATACTTGAGTTGCAGTATGAGAAGAATCAGTGCCCCCGTGGAACCACTGAATCAGCTTCTGTATCATAGATACAGAAAGCATAGGAATCCACATACATAAACCACGATCAAGCAAGCAACTAAAGCAATAAGAAACAAATCAAGCTAACCCTCAATAGAATGAATTAATCGAAATAAAAAGAACAGGAATAGCAACACTCTAATACGAGTATGCCAACCTTATAGCAGTAAAGTATTTCAAAAAGACAAAAAACACTAATGAATGCAATAGGTATTTATGCACGTTACCTTGTGCTTTGTATATGGAAAGGAAGTGAGAAGAAAAAGAAGGAGCTTGATTTAGCATTGCAGAATATGTATATATGTATTCACTGTCTTCTGTTGTATGCAATTCAACGGGCACAATTAAACAGATCAACTCTTCTCGAATGATCTATTTGACCTTACTCAAAGAAGTTCAGATTCAAACAGGACATGGAAAAAATACTCCCTTCTAAAGCATAATCAATGAGGAAAATATAATTGGGACCACAAAAAGGCATTTAATCGACACAAAAAGAGAAAAATAGAGATACTACAGACTACCCCTGAGAAAACCCGCTTTTACTATGGCCAGCATTTTTAACACTAGTTATCAGAACTCGTACGCCATGTTGCAGTGAACCAAATCAAAAGTCCTAATGACACGAGGGGGAGAGGGGGAAGAAACACGCGTTACGCTATCTCCCAAGCTATAGTGATACTTTTCCATTCAATTTATATGTAATCAGATTATTTAACTTGTCCCTTTAGCTCTTTATCTCCCTTCTCATTAGAAGTGTCAAAAACATCGGAGATGAAGTCAACAAATCCAAGCGCAGCTTCTTCATCACTACCAAAACGCTCGGTCAGATTATCTAGCAACCGGTAAACCTCAAGGCTATTTCGTGGTCTCCCCACAACCAACTGAATGAGCTCCTGTTGCGTCAAGAATAGGCTCTCCGCCACGAACCCCTCATGATGCATACTAATGAAAGACGAATAGGCGTCCTGTGAAGGAGAAGAAGAGGCATATGCCGATACAGTATCAGCATATATTTTTTGTGGTGCTGATAATAATGGCCGCACGTTTGCTGTATTTGCCGGACGCGCCTCGGCAGCTGAGGGGATGATTAAAGAAGAAGGAACCCCACTCGAGGCATTCCAGCTTTCCTCGTTGGCGTCGCTTGGCTCAAATTTAACAGTTTTGTGCGGAGAAGCAAAGTGAAAAGCCTCGACATAGACACGAATTTTATGGGCCCAATTCTTCTCCTGCTGATAGCCTTGTTGCTCGTAATGTGTAAGAATCTGCTGCACTGCATGAATGTGCTCCGGCGTCCCAGCACGATTCTGCATAATTATCTCTTTCCACTTTTTGACACTGCTCACGTCATCTTGGTTAGCTTCGCACCGCAGTTCGCGTGTGTCCGTGCACGCTGATTTGTCATCGCTGGCTTCACATTTAGAAGAAACCAACGCTTCAGAGGAGTTAAGACAACACTTTTCCCCCGGCCATACGTCCGGATCGCCACCTTCGCTACCTAATCCTACTTTCCTCAGAGTCGATCTATGCTGCTGTTGTTGAGCATATACTGTTGAGGGGCCATAAATGCTGCGAAGCGCACCATCCTTCGAGCTTGTCAGGTGAGCGTGATTTGCTAAATAGTTAAGCAATCGCACCTCAGTAAGCAATACTATCAAATGTGCTGAGGAGGGTGATGACAGTAATAAGCGCGATGCTTCTGCCGACGAGGTGCTGTTGCCGACACTGCCATGGATATGTGCCGGAAGAAGGCGGCCCGCTGGACCATAGTGACTACTTGCCCGACTTTGAGTATCGGCTTGCACGTGTTGGAGGCCGAAAGGTGGATGAAGTTCTGCACTACGCTCGTCACGACGTCGACGGACGAGGGCGTATACCTCACCATTCGTCAACGGAGTCCCACTAGTTAGCACATGCATCTTTATTTATTTACCCTGGGTGCTTGTATATATATGTATGTGTGGGGGGAGGGGAAGGGGAGAGGAATGAATTCGAAGCCCGAAGGAAAAGAACCCGACCCGACAAATCAATTTTTTTACTTGTAGGTGAGAATACGAAGTTGATGTGTATGCACTTAAATGATTTTAAGAATACGGGAATGTGTAAGAGAGGAGAAAACTATACTTTTTATGCGCATTGATACAGATACGATTCATTATGACAGGAAAGCAATCCAGTACTGATACAACAAAACACCATGAAAAAGTATACTTGAAAACTGACCCTTCCATAAGATTATGCACAAATCCTTAAATAAAAAGACTCTTCACACTGTCTTTCCAAGCATTGTTACATATAATTCACCGAATTAATGTCAACAGATTAGAGAAAAAATGAGGTACAATAATTAAAACTTAATATACGACAATCTATGTCGCGGAGACAGGCACATGCATGCGATATTAATTATCGTATCAATTAATAAATCATAACCATAGTAAATTAAATATTTCTTTTGTTTTTAGTTTAATTCAACTTTAGGTTCGGTTTTATGTAAATATCTGCATACACACTGCAGGATATGAAGTAATCAAAAAATCATCGATTCTGCCTGTATAATCATACTCCAAAAATATTAACCCTGTCATAGTTCTGCCGTAGTGCACCAAATGATTGCAATATATATATATATATACAAATCAGAAACCGAAGGACCAAAGTTGTCAGTAGCAATTCTACTGACCGAACTGACAAATAGAAAAATAAAAAACAGCTAGAAGGAAAACAAGAGCCCGTTCAGGGCTATAACCGCTGCGGCAATGAAAATATCAACCGAATAAGCAAAGCAAATCCTATAAACTATGTAAAATCAGAGATTAATGGAAAGAAATACAACTCTCTGTATTTCTGATTCCTTTGTTATTGGTAGTATTTGTGTTATTTCAAATGAAAAAATGTGATAAGATATCGTTTTGTGCTTAGCCTACCACTTTCACCGCTTAATTTTTATGAGCCAAGTAGTGTATTACACCATCCTGAATTACCTTTGCAATGGATACATGTGACTTTGTCGTCACCACTCTTCACTCATATGCATGCATCTAGTTTATTGCTAACAAAAGTTATTACCTTTTATGACGCATGTGATTAGCTTAGAATTTTTCATATTACAAACTTAGATATACATACTGATATATATATATATATATTCAAGATGAACACTAGTGGATGTTTCTCTTCATATTATCATAGGGTTATGGCTAATACAACTAATGAGTAGAATACGCCAATTGCAACGTTTTGTCTATCTCCTCTTGAGTCAGAATAGGTGACACAACACTGGGTTTGCAATTTAATTGAACGTCTGGAAGCAGTGGATGCACGGTAATGGACTCGTTGAAGCTGATCTCAACAACACTGTGTTGCGGTAAGCGTAATGTCATCAACCGCTCCGGCATAACATCAGTAAAAAAGGCTAGTACTCCCTGTGCTGCTATCGAAGATGCCACCACAAACACAGGTGACTGCGTTCGCATCACTGCCATCAACGCCGACTCGAGGCGCACGCTGACCTGTCGGAAGCTCTCTCCGTTTGGGAAGTGCATATTGTAAGCCAGACTCGGGTCCACATCAGCGGGGGGGCGGTGGAGGCAACGTATGGCATCCGTGAAGCTGGAGAAACGTATCGGTCGCGGTGCACAGGAGCCTCGTCCTGGGCCTGCACCAGCTATAGTGGGTGTGGTAATGCAAGTGTTACCTTTCGTTTCCTCTTGCGCTGTCGCCTCACCTGCCACTAGCCCAGTGTCAGGCTGCCAATCCGCTAGGCCGGTTGCATGAATCAGAGGTAAGAGTCGCGGGTAATGATGAGCTGCCCATGTGGCGTTGTGTCCGCTGAAGAGGCCATAGTTAATATTATCCAGCCCCGGCACGCCACACAAGACTTCCTCAATGGCTTCGTCGTCCTCATCATTATTGTCGAGGCACTCTGTGTGCGGCGAACAACTCTTTAGCCTATCTTGGTGCTCCCGTGGTTGTTGATGCTGCGTGTCCGGAAAGGGAATCATACTAACGCATCCACCCTTCATCGCCTTTGTTGCATCAACATCCTCCGGAGGCCTCGTGGAAAGGGGCGCTCTCACGATCTGTTGTCTGGGCGACGCCACATGGGGCACATCCGAGATGTTTGGTGAGATTATGCAATGAGGCGAATGCCCCAGAGTAACTGCATGCCGGCAATAAACGATGCCAGTATTACGTACTAGACCAGTGACGCCATCTTCGTCTCTGTGATTACGGTGATGCGCCCTTTCCGTGTCGAAAGCATGATGAACTAAGGGTTGGTATAGATAGTTCAGATTAGACTTACCGGCGGTCTCGTCTTCCCCTTGCAGGAGGGGTCGCAGCGTGCTTAACACGCTCTGGTTTGTACCGTGGAGGATAAGCATATGCGGTACGTAGCGGTCCTGAATAAAGTGTTTCAAAGCCCACGAAAAGGATTCGCCACGAGCTGTGAGGCGTTCACTGCCACCGTACACGCCCTCTCGATCCCCCTCAGTTTCGCCGGGAAGCACAATGTATATGGGGTGAGAAATAGGATGTAGATTCATGAGGAAAAATCCCACACGGCTACCCAATCCAGAAGATACCCTGTAAAGAATGATGTGATGTTTGGCATTTATAATTTTGATAAAGGATAGTCCTTCACTTGGGTGAAGCGTCTCGTAGACCTTCTCGTACTGCTGGATGCGGTTTCTGAATTCGGCAATGACGGCGTTTGTGTCATTTATACCTTTGAAATCATCGTTTTTTAACTTACTTCGCAGAATATTTTCAGTAATGACCCCTTCATCTGTACACACGGATTCGATAAACAGAAGGCGATATTGCAGACTACGCCTTCCACATTCCATGGCGAAGAAATTCTTCAGCTTCGACCGACGCGATCTGGTGGTATTAGTAGCATCCAAAATGCCAATCGCAACACGATGGTGCATGATGAAGCTCACAAGATCTTCACACGCAAGCACGGCCATGATCTCGCGTTGCTTTCTTCCCTGGAGATTGTTGGGGTCATAAAAATCAGCTTTGGAGGTGCCTTCGACACCCAATAGCTTTCGACGATAGCTCCCCGCGTTGAAGACACGGCACGGGATACCTTTCCAGTTCATGTAGCGCATCAACCGTAGACTAATAAAGCTTTTACCACGCCCCGGTAACCCACACAGACACACAATAAGGGATACGCTATCTGGCACAGTAGTAAATTTAGAGTGCTCTCGCAGAGTAATCGCTACATCTGCTGTCTTATCGTGAGAAGGAGCCTGCTCGACTTCGGTATTCACACTCGATTTCTTTGGAGTCTGCCCAGCTGTCAAATCACATCCCACAAAGCATTCCTGAGGTTGTTCTGGTACCGCAGTTTGGGTGGTCACAGCTAGCGGTATAGTTGCCTTGAATTCACCGCAGCAACTCTTAGCATCAACGCCAATCGTACCGTCACTCTTTTCCTCACTCCGTGCTTTTGTTTGTGGCAGCTCCAGCCTCCCCACAACTGCATCGTCTCGCTGGGTTTCTACTAACTGAGACCCTGAAAAAACTGTTTTAATCCTACCTAAACCACCAGTCTCAGTGTCTGTGTTTTCTTCCATGTGAGACCTTGGAAGCTGAACGAGTTGAGAGGACGACGCGTCACTAGACCTGACACGATGGAGCGTAGTACTAAGGCCTACTCCTATCTCTACTGGTGGTAAACCCTCTAAAAAATTCGCGCTCATGATAGCATCACCGCTTCCTCTCTCCTTCAACGTAGTCTCAGCTTCCCGTGAAGGCGTCACACCGCGCTGTGTAACTTTAGGGGATACTGAACTTGAGGCATAATTATCGTCGTTGATTTTGTCCGGGGCTTGTATGGGCGCAAAGTCGGGAATAGATAGAAAAGACGCATCAACGTTAATTTTGCAGCCATGTGACTGTTCTAGGCTCGACACCAACGAGCTACCAGGAGGAGATGGCGAAAACAATGACGGTGGCACCTCAGGAGGGTCAGCACAGTCTCCATTTCCACCCTTATCAATGCTCTGAACATCTGCTGCTGCCGCCTCCTCTTGCTGCCATGGGGCACGGATCACCGCCATCAAATATCGCGCGACCCCGCTCTGTCTATGAGCAGCCGCACAATCCAATGGGGTTCTGCCGAAGCTGTCCAGCGCCAGAACATCTGCACCGAATGACAGGAGAAGCTTGACAATGGCCATATTACCCTCACTCGCTGCAACATGTAGTGGGGTACAGCCGTTGTAATCTCTTTCATTGACCTTGAGAAGCCTTTCCTGAAGCAGATACTGCAGCTGCGACACTTTACTCGCACGCACGATGGCGAATATGTTCTTCGCCGTGGCTGTGAGCTGAAGCTGCGTGAGCTTTTTCTTAAGGCACTCTCTGCGATGCATAAGCTCAGCTATAAGAGCGGATCGGCCTTTCTGCTTCACGACTGAGTTCAGAAACGACGACTCAGCCCTATTCGATGATGTTGGATCAGTACTCCACGCGCCCTGTGTGCTAGAAAAGGTACTAGGCAACAAATCCATGAATATACTAGTATTGGTATTATTATCGTGCAAACCTCCACTACCGAGTATATAGTTTGGAATATGGCTGTAGTTTAAGCTTTTGCTCCCTACTGTGGCGGTGTTGTTGTCATTATAATCAAGTGGTGACGGTCGCGGCGCAAGCGTCGATCGGGAGAAGGCTCTGGATTGCATAAAGTGTCCCCTGGCGCGACTGGATGTCACAGGCTGCCTCTCAGGTACTATCGAGTGTTCCACAGAAGCACTCGTCGTTCCAGGAGCAATAGGAGAGAGATCACAGATTGCTGTGGGGGTGTGGGGGTAGATAGACTCCGGAAAGGTTGTGTCAGCCACATCAGGAGAGATCGCAGTGCATCCGCTAAAACTAATGATAGGATGATGAGGCATCGTCTCCTTGAGCCCAGCGATTTGGCAAGACTGATACTTCATGGTATTTGTCATCCGGCCCCGCTTCACGTCCACGGTGGATCCTTCACGTACTGTGGTTTTAACCCATCCTTCGTCATCCTCGCTATTGCTAGATTGTGTCGTGTCACTCGCTTCATCACTTTGGAAAGCCACGGTATGACCCCTAAGCTTTTCGCTAAGTGATGGTTGAGGTATAATCACGGGTCTTTTACTACTTTCAGAAGGAGGTAAACTTTGTTCTTCGATAACACGTACCTCATCAACATCACAGAAGCTATCCTTTTGCGTGGTGATATCGAAGGGGTGGTCTTTTTGTAGTCCATCAGTTGATACCATGTCTGGAGTTAATGTGTGAGGTAAAATCGCCGAAGTCTCTGATGTAGCTACATGTGAGCATCGTCGATCCAGGCTTCCTGTGTTTGGGATATTCATTCAACTTTACTATTACCTTTGGTAAATATTTTGTCTATGTGTAGGTGGCTATGACGTTTCTAGCGGAAGGGAGGGTGAAAGTAAGAGTTGTTAATCAGAGATTCCTAATTCGTTATTATAATATGAACTTAACTAAATGGATATACAAAAATTTCAAACGAAAACACTGTATACTGTCTACCTCAATACTAAGGAAAAGTGTGGAGAAGAAGTCGATATGAGCAGGAGTAATTGCTGACAAAGCTTGTAAAGTCTCCTTAGTGGTGAAAGCAAGGAAAGCACGAAAATAAGTGGAACAATAATAATAAAAGGGACTTGAATACAAATTAATCAATCGCAGCAAGATTATATTTTTTTGTATGTGTGTGGGTATTGGTGGGAAGAGAGAACACAACAGGTGCATATAAATATATATATATATACTCGAAATTAAAGTAGTGTTGCAATTGAAGCTTTACCACTTCTCCCTGGTGACTACTGGTCAGATCGTCATTTTGTCAGTCATACCCCCCACACAGCCCTGGAGGAGTGCCTACAGTTCTTCGACGAACGCTACGAACTAAAACAGAAAAAATAGCATGCCATATTAATTCACTAACCTGACAAAAAGAGACTGACCGCTAAGATTGTATCTTATTCATTCATATAGGTCGCACTTGATGCCTAACTCAGACCGAAAAGATTGCAATTTCCGTGCGTTCAAGGTAGATGTAACACACGCAAACAATTCGAGTACGACAAAGCAACATGTAAGCTGGATGGGCATGGGGAAGGTTGGTGTTCAACACCTCTTAGCGTCATTGTCGATGTTATAATGTGGTCAATTCTCAATGTTGCGACCGTTATAGAGGCGCTAGACATCCTCTGATGCGAGGTGGAATCACCGCTGCCTTATCCACGACACAATCGTGCTCACTGGATCCCCTCGATGTGTCGCATACAGATCCGATTCTTCTCTATGACAGAAAACAAGGTTAATTGGCTCATACGAGGTTATAGGAAAAAGAGATACCATCGTTGAAAGGGGAATATCTGTTAGAAAGGCGGGCAAATTAGCACGTATGACAAGCAAGGATCCTCTTGACGCATTGGTATGTGTTGTTTGTAAAGGAGAAGCACTTCATGCTGATATTTGCACCACCACTTTGAAGAATTAAATCGGCTATTGGTAAATCATGCCACCTACGCTGCTCTTTGCGTCTGTCTTCAAAATTGTCTGTTCGGATACCACAAAAGGCATAGTAATACTCCCCCATCTAATGAAGCTTTCTTCATGCTGCCTCAGCACGCTCACGCTTTTTGTCTGAATGACGTATTTTAAAGTTTTTTTGCGATGAAAAAAAGAGAGAGAGGTCTTTTGCACCCATATATCAGATAAAGGTCGATAACAATGCATGCGATTCTTGCTGCTACTTCGCGGCTCAATACCTACCCTGGTTGACGCTACAGAAAGACCTCCTTGAAACTACATCACCATCGTCTCAGGTGTTGGCTAAAGAATGAAAGAAGATTATCAGTGATGTATAGACTATAATACGCGTAATCAATGATGTGCCGTAAGCTGCCATGCATATGAGTTTGGAGGCGGGGTACAAACTCTGGAGAGCTGCAGCGAAGGTGATGACGATCTGGAGGATCGCCAAGCCCTACAACGCTCTTTCGACGACGCAGATCAAATCTTGACAACACAAAAATATAAAGGGGTCGATCCTTTGGTGAGCATAACTTGTCATTTAGCCTTTTATGCTGAAGTTATAATTACTACAGCATTCACATAGCTAAGCTACCGAATCAAACCAACTAAAGTCATATTCTATATCTAGATATAGATATCTGCCTTAGTGCAGAGGGTGTACTTAATTAGGGACTTTGTGCGAATTAAAAAAGGCGAAGCCTTGTCTTCTAGTCCCTCGAATATGTCCTCATTAAAATCGCTGAAACGGTTTAGAAAAAATAGACGCAAAATAAAGGATGGACAAATACACTTGATGTGGGTGTAAAAAAGAAGTGCATTGAAATAGTCCTAGCATATAGGTTTATGGGAAATTTATACGCACTAGCCTCTAAGAGTGGTACTATATATATATATATATATATATATATGAGCAAACCCAAGGATTCTATATCGTCTAAGAGCTACCATGAAAAGTAAAAAGCACTATTCATATATTAGGCGTGCGTGTTTGTACGCTTGAATTGTTTGTAGTTAGCATGTGCAGTTTATCACCATTGCGGTGCCATACGAGGGATGATTCAAAGAATCTGCCCCTTTCGATAACATGAAAGTGACACATAGTGCATCTCAAATCATATAAGATGGACAATAAGAAATTACTAAGACACATGGTGATTGTCTTGATGTTGAGAAAGCTCAACTAACCACGGAAAGTTTGGCAAGGAACAACCTGGAAAGGGCTGAAATACCGACGAGTGTGGACGGTGAGGTGGTGGACTCTCCGATGAAACCTGCGTTTCGCGACTCTCTTCCGCTAGGGGATCGCTACGTGGAAAACAAGGTAGGTCAAGATCCTTAGAATGTACATCTGCTTCACTAGAGGCACAGAATGACAAGATGGAAGGGGTAGTTCCTCGCGTCGTCGTCGTAGTGTAACGTGTTGTCACACCTGTGACTGTGTTGAGGCTGTCAATGCTTCTGCCATTTGTGTTCTTCTGATTCGACGATCCGGAAGACGAAGCGTCCAGCACAGGGCGACAGCGGCGTAAATAGAGGTGACCACTTTTGCTCACACTATCTTTATCGTGTGGCATTAGTGTCCTTCGCACACGAACTAAGTGTTGATTCGCCTGAAGAAAACGGTGACCACCAGCAGGGTCATAGCTGCTGGGATTGGTCGATGTCAGCCATGAGGACGCCGAAGACATTGACGATGTAGACTCGTAAAGGCTTGTGTCAGTTTCTTTTCTTCGTGTAGATAGTGTGTGGTCACGTCTCGTCTCTCTCTTAATTTGAGCTCCACACTCTGCCGTGCCCGTCACAGCGGAAAGTTGTCGCACGAAGTTTTTCCCCTCAGTGTGTTGTGTCTGCTTCTCATTAAATGATTTAAGCCACTCAAAGATAAACTTTGTCACTGGGTCTCGTATCACGGTGGTCGGAACTAGTGAACTATCTGACTTACACAACTGTCGCTTCGGCTTCGGATACTCACTCTGCTGCGGTGATTGCGACACAAAGGTGGGGACGGCTGAAATCAGCCTCTTGGAAGTTTCATGGAGACGACTGTACCACTCCTGCATCGTGACTAAGATATCACGCTGCATCGCCTCTTGGTTGTAAAGAGAGTCCCTACGCTCGGCTTCCATCTCATGCAGTTCGCAAAGTCGGTTTTCCACCTGGCAACAGGAAACGCTAGGCAACACCTCAGGTGTGACAGGCGGCACAGCTTTTACAGGTTCTGATATAGAAATGATCGACACTGCAGGAATGGGAACAGTGGTAGGAATGGAAATCGGACCCGAGACCACGACTGCGTTTCGTTCCTGTGACAAATTGGTGTCGCGTCGAACGATTTCACTGTTGTAGTGGTCATCGTTCTTAAGACAAATGTCTTTTACCAACAAAACTGGCTTACTTGGTAGCACTTTGGAGTCTTCTGGGGGCTCCGTGGCGTCGTGTAACATATTCCTCATTGGATATTCTCTCAACTTGACTGCAGGCGACATGATGACGGATTCCACAATAACATCACAAAGGTCTTCATCTTGCATCTGACAGCGTGGTTCCTCCTGCTGCATGATGACCAATTTTCCATCTCCTTGCGACAACGACAAATGCTTTCTAACTTCAGAGGGAGAATGCAGGAGAGACGAGTGGTATTGCTCGACCTTGGAGAGGTCAAGAATGACGTTCACAGTGCATGTGTTAGTGATGGGCAGGTGTTGCGTATCAGTAGTGTCTAGACTGACCTTAATCTCTCCTTGTGTGTTTCCTGAAAAGCAGACATGTCCTAACTCGTGTGGAATGGCCTTCATTGAGGACAACACAGAGGGCGTAACAGGAGTAGCCCCTGAAACTGTCGAGGGCATCGGTAAATCCGATGTGCGTTGTTGACCAACCTCATTTTTAGGGGAATCTGTTCGTCTGTTATTCAACCACAAAGGGCATGGTACTTCAGGCACACATACCACTTCGTGGCAGCTTTGCTCATCTTTGTGTCTATCCATATGATCCACTGGCAGAAGCGCACGTTGAAGGGCTTCAAGCATAAGCTGCTCACTACCTTTGGAGTCGTCTTCAATACTTTTTTTTTTGACAGTGCTGCGGGTATTTTCAAGAAGTCCATTCCCCTGTGTATTCATATGCAGCTGCTCCAGCACCGCATCCTCCAAAATGCTCTGCAGGAGCTCCACAGACACTGCCTTGTCCTCCACTACTGACGATATAGGGTTTAATGATTCAGCTTCCAGCGGGAGATGTTCTTCACGTTGCGCAATCTCATGTTTAAGCAACGCGGAAAATAAATCCGATTCAATCCCCTGTAGAATCTCTGCGAAGAGTGCACGTTCAGTGAGTTTGCCCAGTACGCTATGAATAGTTTCATGCATAATATCCTCTTGAAGCCGTCGAGCCTGTTTGTCGCTGTTAGCATGCAGCGGCTCACCACTTTCCTTCGAGATTGAATTCTGGACACCTCGACTTCCTTGCGTTACGGCACCTCCACGTGAAACGAGCCACGCAGGTAATGTGGGGAAGGGGGCACTGTCAACTGAAGGTTCATACAAAAATAACTTCCTTATGTGACAGAGGCGCTGACGCATGTGAAGCAATGTCGCTGCTTCCGCAGCCATCGCGGAGGTCACTTTCAGCATGCCAACAGGCGATGCTGCTGATCTTTCTGAGCCAACGATCACTTTACGGAACTCCTCCTCAGACCGCTCCCATTCTTTTGCATAGGATGTATCCTTGCCCTGCTCCACTGTTATCTGCAACGGCAAAAGTTCAGAACTCTCCTGCGTGCTGGCGGTATCAACCCCATTATCCGCTTTCCTCGATGGGACTATTTGCAACGGAGACCTTGGCCACTTCGGCTTCTGCCTATATGAGTGGTATTCACGGATGTCTTGTACTTTACACTCCACAGCTTCGATTAGACTCCAGTATCGAGGGCAGTCATTCATTGTTGATTCACCAAAGTAGTAGTAATCGCATCTGAATGGCGTTACCGATTCCGCAGATAGACCTAAGGCAACATTTTGAACTGGCATTACCGCTGAAACGTATGATCGATTATCTGCACTTTTGCCAGTCTCGTAACCCCTCACAAGAGTCTCCCCCATTTCACCGGTGCTGGGACTCCCCACACAGCTCCGCACCCTGATGGCGTGACTGAAATCTGACAAGAGCGGCAAGGGGCGATGCGCGAACCCACCTTCGGCTTCTGGGGCGTTCAAACCGGCCTCATGACGTGATGGTAGCTGCCCAGGGAGCCACGTAGTTGGACTATCATTCTCGTCTTTGAGTGTGAACAGAACCACACCACGCCCAACAGAAGACCTTCCTGCCGTCACTGCCATAACAGGACCATTCTCACGTGTGTTTTGATCGTGTTGCTGTTTATCCGTATTGAGCACTTGAATAAGTCTCTGCGGTGCCTCTCCTTGTCGTCCGCCTGCCCAGTTAGGAGCTTCCTCCGCTTTTTCTACCTTAGATGCAACTTCACCTCCCTCGAGAGAGTTCTCAGACGAAATAGGCAAGGTCTTCTGGTGTGTAAAAAATTTTTTCGGTTGCAGGTATGTTTCATGGGGCGCAGGATTGGGTTGGGAGACTGAATCACGCAGTAATGACCCGAAACAAGAAGAGGCAGGAGCGAGACGCCTCTGCGTCAATACGGGAGACGGGTTACGATGGGGAGAGAGTAACGCAGAACGCAACCGCTGTCGCTGTTGTCTCCCTGATGGTGCTACCAGCTTACCTGGGATACATCGTTTCCCGGTGTTCGCTCTCCTTTTTGCATATTCTTGTCGCTGAAAAACTTCTTCCTCATCCGGAAGTTGCACCATAAAGGGCATGCCTTTTTGTATGGAACGTCTACGCGTAGCAGAGCTTGTCGTTCTATCTAAACCTTTTTCAGCACCACAAGGCTTGTCCATAATTACCTCTGTTTCTTGTACCTCAGGCTTGATGGAATCACCTACACCTGACTCATCGAGTTTCGTAAAGGATACCTTTCTAGCATCCGATGGGGGTACCTTGCGCTTTGTAACAGCTTTATTCGGTATTCGTTGCTTGGGATAGTGCTCCGGTGGAACGTTCCGGTGATTTAATGGCTGGGTAGAGGCGGCATAGGAACTTACCACATCTAAGATATCTTGATTAATTTTCTTTGTCATCTCTTCATACCGGTGCTGCTGCTCTAAACTTATAAGGCGCCGCGCCGTTTCCTGACCATATAGAAGTTTGCGTTCTATTAGTGCTTGTTGTTCCCTTTGCTGTAGCCGTGCCTCACGCTGAAGAGAGTCAACTGTCTGCTTATACTGCCTAGAGAGGGTTGTGTACTGCTCCTTAAGCGCATTCAGAAAGGCCTTGCGCTCATCACGATGGCGCTCTTTCTCGTCCACAAGGAGGCGATTATATTCATCTTTAAGGTGATAGAGCTCCCTTTCATAAAATTGTGCTTCGCGTTCCTTAAGTGCACACCATTGGGACTGTTGTGGCGCGGAAGGACCGAGCGAAACGGTGGCTGAATTACCCGTCGAGATGGTTATTAATGGGGGAATGGGTCGACCCAGGTCTTGCGCAGCGCGCTGAAGTTGTCTGCCGAGCTCATATGATTCAATAGCTTTATCGAGGCCTTTTTTACTGTTTTCTTCAGCGTACGTAGCTTCGAGAAATCCCCTGGTAACTGGATTCACACGCGGGGCAAGCAGGCGACGTCGGGTCTCGGCCTGCTGCTCCCGTGCCAGCCTGCGCAAATGCTCCTGTTGAACACCTGTTAGATAATCTAATTGCCGACGTAGACGAGTAAATTCCTCTCGCATTTCACGAGAAATTTCAGGTTGTACCTGAAGAATTCTCTTAACAATTGCTTCTTGTTCAGACCATATTTGCTGTTGGTGCCTCTTCGGTTCACCGCCCGTCTCACTACGCGGAGGGTTTCCGTCGGTGTTTCCACTCTGATAGAGGCCAGTATTATCATTCGTGGTAGCGGTGATAGGGACAGAAGAAGAAGAGGAAGTGAGAATCACGTTTCGAAGATGGCTAAGAGTATAAGGCAGAAGTTTCTGCACCTCCTCAGCATCAATAAAATTCTTTTGTGTGCCGGTCTTGACACGGGAATTCGCAGTGATAGTCTTCATACATTTTCCTATATCCTCTCCTATTTCGTGCGCGGCTTTTTGTATAAAATTCAACACAAAGTCATCTTCCAGAGCGCCAATGTGGGTCTTGACATCGCCGCAGTCCTTCTGCCTTTTAGGGGGGAGTGCTTCATCGCAGTTTGTGCTGTACTGCACCAATGCATCGTACTCATCAGGAGCCTCATTCGATTCGACAGAGATGCTGCCCCGCAGTAATTCCATCGCATAATTTGCTGGATTGAAGTGTTTTTCTAAACAAAATTCATCGTCGCAGTCAACATACTTTGGACTCAGGGGATCCGTAGCGCTAAATCTATTACCCATGCTGTAGGGTGGACTAGGGACGAAAAGCGAACTGAATTGATCGACTGTCTCAACCACTTCGGTGATAGAGCTCACTTGGTTAAGCAGAACGTCAGAACAGTCTACTTCACTTTTATTTAATAGGTTTCCTAAGCGATCATCTACTCTTTCTAGCCTATGCTTTAGGGTACTGAGCTCTTCAAGGGCCATCCGACTCTCCATCCTTGCCTCCTCCGTTGTTTGCGACATATTAGTGGCAGAGGAACTGGTTTGGTCTAGTGTGGTATCGAGAGGCAACTGGATTGTGTCAGTTGTATCGGTTCGCATGAGGCTACACCGGCCTTGCTTCAACGATTCATGGGAGGTTAATTCCGTTCCTATCGGTATACTGACGTCACCTGAAGCTCCCACCTCTGTCTGATAGGTAGATACATCATTGAGACATCCACCAACAGGAGTCTCGAAAAGGGCTGACTCCTCTAGCTTCGGTGAGAGCGCATGCCATGCCCTTGCACGTGACGAGACGGTACCACTATCATAGCACTCCCCCCACGATTTATTTTTCAACTCCTTCATGTTGGAAAGATTGTGTCTCATTGATGTAAGTCTTTTTGCATGCCGACAGACTTTATTATTTTTTTTATCTAGTGTGATGCGCACACGCTTGAGTCTTTCACCTTTCCGAGTTGATACATCTTGAAACTGCTCTGCAGTCCTGTTTTGTAATACTATGCTAGTGTTTGACACCCTATTCTGCATTTCGTTGGGTGAAACAGAGCATGCGTGATTAGACACTCTTTGCCTGCTAATCGTATTCTTGCGATATTTCCTAACTTGTTGTTTAGCACACTTTGCGGCGTCATAGTCATGCGCATCATTATCAATGGCATCATTAAGGCAAATATCAGACACCGTTACAACACCTTGGGTCTGAAACAACGCCTTAAATGTCTGATTTACTTCGTTAACCATCACGTAATGTGGCAGATGATTCCAGCACTGGTAAAAAAATGATCGCTAAGGTTCAAGAAGAACGCCGACCCTATTTTTCTATTTCCCTTTTGTTTATGGAAGTATTTATCTATCTATTCAATCGACTCAAGGCGTATGGAGCTATGTGCGCCTGCCTTCCACCTATTTTTATCTTGACGAGCGCACGACAAGCGAAGTACGAAAATGTAGGTGAAATAATACATAATAACGATTAAAGTATGATGGAAGGATATTTGAAGAAAGCAATTTGGATTGTTAGCATTGATTTTCCCCTCGACTTGCATTAGCTCAAGGATGAGTTCAAGTTCTTAGATTCGTAAGGAATTGTCCTCAATTTAAAGATACTCCTGGCAACAGTCCTTCATGTAATCGTGATGATAAACACAAACACACATAGAGCTATGTAATATAGATAGATAGATAGATAGTCATATGCGTAGTAGGCTTTCAAACACACTAGGCATTGCAATGGGGAAAATCTCCCGCTGATGACTGAAGCAAAGATGTTTTTTTCTTGCCTTAATTCATCGCCTTCGATTTTCCGGCTTCCATATGCTATATGTAAACGTTGGGATAATTGTTCACTTTGCAATTTTTTTTAATTTATTTTCTTTCGGGAAATAGCACGTGCTTTACCGTTTGTAACTTGTTGGCGTAGCATCATCTGCTTTTCTAACGGCACCTGAAATATCTGGACATCTAACGCTGACGCCATCTCTCGCACGCCATGCCAAGCAAGATGAGCAAACGTTACTACCGACAACGCGAAAAATTCGTGTAGTATAAGATCTTCATCCAAAGCAGACGCAAGTCTGGGGTGTCCTCCCATCAATTGGTGCGAAGCGTCAGCATGGTCGTTCTTAATACTTAAAAGGGACTCAGCCGAGGCGTTGAGCAGCCGCCACTGTGTCAACTTGGTTGCACTGTGAAGGTACGTCAGGGTGGTGTGAACACTGAACAGAAAAACAGGGAGAAACGTTCGGCGGAAAGGTTGAAACTCAATACCGCACAGGTGGGCCAGCATAAGATGAATCGTGAGTTTCGTGAAAAGTAAACCCACCGTCCAGCAAAAAATTCTCGGATGTCGTCGAAATATATTTTCCTGTGAAGCAAAGAAAAAAACGTTAGCCATGAACACCAACACTACTAGTGGGGAGAGCTGCACGAGGGAATGAAGAAAGGGAAATCTGCGCCTAAACCAGGATTCCGGAGTCCGTTCAACTACGCTATCAGCATCTTTTCCGCCATTTTGTTGGTTTGGGTACTTGCGGCGCCTAATGACTTTGTAAACCTGGTAGATGTTCCCTGCGCACGTCCAGATGACAGCGAAGGTCATGAAACACACCATCAAAGTGTTATACCTTACCTCCAGTTTCTGCTGTCCCGTGTCATAGAGCCGAAGAACCATTCTCTGCAGCATGCTGTGCCCATTCCAGTACTTCAACGTCACAAGCTGCTCGTGGTGTGCAATCTGCGAATTTTTATCAAATACTACCAGCGTCGGTCTTGGCGGGTTCTCGATATACGATGCAGAGCAATTGAGGTGGAAAATGAAAGGTAAAAGAGAAAAGTCTGTACTGCCTTCGTGAGAACGACTGAAGTAAATCAAAAAGGGGCACACCAAGCGAAGGATTTCACGTTCGACAGCCGTAGCAGCATCGGGTGGAGGCTGTTGCAGAACTTCCGGTAACCATTTCAAGGGTACTTCGATAGTGTTATCATACCACCACCGTGGCCCACCAACCCATGCAGTCCATAGGCATATACCAATAGTCGCTAAAATGCCCTCATTAGGACCGTTGATGACAGGCAACACCAGGATGCCGCGGTAATACTCCTCCCAGGTGTTCATAAAGAAACCTGTAACTGTGTTAAGGACAATGATCCACGTTTTCCAACAAGGACCAGCTGATATTGACGCTGCAATGCTGAGACTTGAGATAATGCAGTTGAACGCATCACAGCCATGGTCTAAAAGGAGACCGAGGGGTGACGAAGTCCCCGTTCGCCGGGCTTGATGACCATCCAAGTTATCAAGAAATTGGTACAGGAACATAGACGCCGCGACTAGCACAAATACCAACGGTGGTGGCTGTGGAAGAAATTCCTTTCTGTAGAGCATATTCATCTCGTTTTCAGTCGAATAGTCTATGTCCTTAGCCGCAAATTTCGGCATGTAATATGCCAGAATGGCGTGCGAGAAGCACACAATTGCGAGACCTGTAATGGTAATGAGGTTGGGGGCTAGCCAAGGGGGCAAAAAATTGACCACGCACCTGCATAACTTACTCCAAAGGTATTTGTAGATATAACTACGATCCTCGCCATAATATTTATACCCACGAAGACGCTTAGGCGCGTCGTGTGGCAGATAGTTGTAGAAACTAGGGCTTTGTGACATGGACAATGCTATAATGTGCTGTAAGGGGTAAATTTTACAGGGAAAAGGAATAGTCGCGTAAGGAGATAACACGAGAACAAAGAAGCTAACAGATACGATAAGAAAACCATCAAAAATCTAAAAAGGGATACTTGGTAGGGGAAAATAGGAAACCTGCATGGGGGATAAGCAGGTGTCTCTGTCAGCCCCATCTTTGAAGGTCCATTATGCATCCGGCAGGACCTCAGTAACACCTCTTACCCCACTCTCTTCACATCAAAAACGATGCTAGCACTCCTGTAAGAAAACATAGAACAAAACTTTCAACAAGGAAAACAAGACAAACGAACATAAGGGCCGATCAACAACAGAGCATATGAAAACAATCAGCGGTCCATAAAGTATTTCTCCCAGAAAGTACGGTTGCGGTTCTCGTTTGCAATTTCAAAAATCTCTACATGGTCGAGGTTCGCTTTGCTTTCTCGAGCGTTAGTCTTGTGGCGACGGCACACTGGCTCTGTGTACTGTACTACAACCGAGAAAGGCTTCCCAGACACATCATCTTGAACACTTAGCGTCTCAACCACCGGCAGAGATGCATCAATGCGGGGATCTTCCTCACCACACGAGAGCTCGTATCGAGTCCATCGCCCATTGTAGACAGGCAAATTCCTTAGCAAGAAGTTTCCGTTCTGCTTTAGAACAGGGTCCAGCAAGAGACTAAACGATTCTTGTGTCTTGGTAACATCAGCCAGTTTGATATTATGCAGCAGGTGTCGGTTATCACCTCGGGCGTCAAAGCGAAACTTCCCAAAGGCGTCACGCTCAAACAATAAGCACTCCTTCACGAATCCCACGACCGCTGGCGGCACCGGTTCAAGAGGTCTCCCAGTGTACTTGTCTCTTGGGTGCTGGTCGAAGGCCAGGACAACGTCAGTGAGCAAGCGATCCGTGCGTAAATCCGAGGCAATCATCGTGCGCACCATTACCGCAGCTCCGACCTCCGGCTGGCTCGATATAGCCAAGAGCTTGGAGTAGTACTCACACACGGCACGTAACTCAAAGGCAAGCAGCCGCGTCAAAGGATCTCTTTGCACAGCATTGTATGCCATGAGTTCATCTGAGCTGGCAGTGGAGGATTGGTTCTTGTACACGCCACGTCTTCCAGTAACGTCAAAATCTAGGTCATACAAGATCTTTCGAACCTCTATTTCAGCTTCTTCAAACAATTCGCGTAGCTTGCGCTGCGGATAGACACCTTCAAGCAGTCGCTGAAATCCTTCAGCGAGGAGCATGCGTGGCAGCGCCGGCAGAGGCACATGCTCCAGTGAGCCGAAGAATAACGCAATAAGGGGCTCGTGCTGGAGGAAAATATGCCTAAGCACAGACGCCATCGAACCGGTTGCGATGAGACGGAAAGGGATAAGGTTCCGCATGAACGAGCGCTCCACAACCGAGCCAATAACGCTAGTAGTTGTCGTGGTTGAGGATAACAACAGGGGTGCCGCCTTAACAAGGGATAAAAGCGTGCGACAGACACGCATCACGCTTTAAAGTATCCTCTTCTAGCAAAACAAAAGGAAAACGATACTCAATACAATAAAGCAACGCTTGCTCTTATCATGCGCAGTCCCCGCAGCGATATGTATACAGTCTATTCTATCTGCTATGACGTCCTTCAAAAAACGTCTTTATTCGACTGTGATTGTGTTGAAGTAACACAATAAAGTGAAAATTGGACCATATAAAAATGAATGAATAATTATTTTTTTTAGGAAAAGATCGCTGGATAAACTTAACGTTGAGGGAAGAAAATTATTTCATCATCATCATGTTCTATTCTTATCCATCAGCAGTATAGAAGCCGATGTGAACAAGAAAGCTACCGGAGCGACAACGGTAAATGCGAAAACTACAATTCGCAGATAGAAAATGATAAAGTTAAAATTTATGTTAATTATCCGAATCAGCACAGTGGCTTTACTCCCTTCCCAACCCCTCTCTTTTCGCCATCAAAGGGATGCTTTCACCAATATTAGTTAAGCTAAACTTTATTATTTGATCTGCATCATTCACTTTTTCTTTGCCCTTGCTTCAGAAGGTATTAGTTCCGCTTAAAGGCATGCATGTTGACCTTCTTACCTCTTCCTTTGATTTTTCGCGGTCCATGTTTCACATACCCCGGTACACGTGCGGACGGATCAAAAGGTTTATAGTTCTTATTAAACCGTTGCTTGTTAAATTCCTTGATGGCTCGTTTTTTGCGTGCATGCGCAGGAAGATCCTTCTCTAACTGGGCCGCCTTCTTTTGTTTTTGATGAACTTTTTTGCTGATCCCTGTTAGCAGTGCGTGATCCTGTGCCTTGCGAACTCGAGATGCCTTATCGTCGTCGCTATCGCTGTGGTCCTCTAGATTCTCTGCATCATTGTCGAAACGAATGCGCACAGGCTCATTACGACCATTTTTAACGCGCGAAACTAACCCCCCGACTACCCTAAATTCGTTGGGATGTTTAAGTAGAAATTCCGACAGCGTTGACCCGAGGACACCTCCGAATCGACTGTTGAATCCGTTCCACTTACCGATGAGGTTACCGAGATCGCCGATGTACATTGGACGCGGTTCTCGAGGCATCGCCATAAGAATCTCGTCAAGAGCGGCCTTCTGCAGACGCGAAACATCTTGCTGCCGCTTTCCTGACATGGGAAATGGTAACCACGGCAATGGTATGTAGCACGAGGAGGGATGCACAACATCCTTAGACTTACTTCCCTTGGATTCTGTCACTGCAGCCTTGACCTCATGACTGCGCAGTAGCTCAGTCCGTGAGAGTGGCCTAACTTGACGGCTCGATAGGTTGATTATGGATTTCTCCTTATTCTTGTCGTTGGACAGGCTTTTCGCGCCCCCTGCATTTTTAGTCTCATTGTTGGATGCTGGAGTTTGCAACCCACAAAGCTCCAAAAATAAACCCAATGATCCCACATCGGTTGCAAGTGTAAGGTCCCATTGCAGGCGGCACGCTACTTCCTCCAGTGGCAGGGAGTAGATCGCGACAGCATCGTATATAATATGCATGAGAGTCACTAGAAATTCAGCGTAATTCGAACCGAGACGCGATTTATAGCGGCTACGCAGACGATGGATAATATTTTTCCTACAGCTGTTCGGTAGCACTAAGCCACCCGCCTTGATATAGTGTGTGACACCCCAAGCCTTGGCAAGGGCATCTAGAGTTGCTGGAGAGGCTTCACAACCAGAAAGGTATGTAATCGTTGCCTGCAGCTGGAGATTTGGCAATGAACTATAGAAATTGAAGTACTTTTCACGTTCTTGAGCAGAGGATGGAAGGGTCATGGGATCAGACGGACAAGACAACACCTTATTGACTTCCTCCTCAGACTCCCCTTTATGCTTCTTTTTCTCAAGCAACCTTACTGTTGCTACACCACCCCCAGAGACGTCCTTATAGCCGTGCAAACTTGGAATCATGCGAACAAGTGGCACCATTGCACGAAATACCATGTCCGCCATAGTTGCACCCTTGGGAGATGAAAAGTTGCTACTCTGATCAACAAGATAACGCATTATATAGGCAAGGCGGTGATGTGCATGCACCACGTCCACAGCACCCCAGTCACATCTCAGGGAGTTGAAGAGAATTTCTTCAAAGTATCCTGGAGTAGTACTAAACACACGAACAAGGTGCTGCATCGCAGCTTCGATGTCACCATTCGCCAAAGCACTGGACACATCATTATCCATACGATCCGTCAGGTGACGGATGCAATGAGGCACATGATGGTTGGATAACATCTTGTTAGGTGCAATAGATCCACCGTTCATGCTGGTTATTGAGTCCTTGTTCATATTCCCCACGCACTCGGAATTTTTTTCCGTTAATTCCGGCTGCCATAAGAGTGGGCCATTCTCCTCGTCACAGCACATGTCTTGCACGGCGGCCGCTACTTCGTGTGTGGGCTCCTCGTCAGCGATACTTCCAGGGCATGCAGCCTCTAGTCTTACCAATACTTTATTATCTTCAAGCTTCTGTTTCTTGCCCCTCTTTTTTCTATAAACACCTTCCTGTGCAGCAACCCCGTGGATTGCAGCGTCTTTGCACGCGCGTTTAGAAACAAAAAATATGCCCCGTGTGTTCACACCTTGTAGGTCACCAGCCGTCTCGACGTCGGGAAGCGTCACCAACAGGGATGCTGACCTCTCCATCCAGAGCGACGCTGCACCGCTACCAGCATGGCCCACAACTGCTTCTGTTGCCACCACCACGTGTTTTTGCGGAGTAAAGTACTGCGAAGGCACCTCCGGGAGACCATGAAGCGTTAGAGCCATTTTCAGAGCGCCCCCCATCCCTGCACATCGCGCCGCCCACGCAAAGGCATGGGCGCTGTAAGGGCACCCTGCGACCACAAGGACCATCAAGGTGCTGTCGTGTCGGACACTGGCCGCAACATAGTGGGCGGCGGCAACTAAGGAAGGCCAGAAGCTCCTCCGAACATCATCAACGCACGCACCTACGATGGCACGTGGGCAGTCGAAGCCAAGGTCCGGTTCCACGCCCCGTTGTTCCAGGTACTTGTGAGCGTTGGGAAGCGGAGTCCATGGTGGAAACATGGGCGGGCCACATCCTGGGGGGACAGTGTCGGTGATAACTTCAATCTCTTCACCACCCGTACTGGTGTTCCGTGAGCGCTTCGAGGATTTTTTCCCCTTATTCGACATTCTGCTACTATCGTTGCTGCTTCCGCACATAGCTACAGTGCCCTTCGACTCCCGTACAACACCTCGTTTATGAAAGTCGTTCCGGTGCTGGAGCCAGTTCTTCGCAAAGCACGCTTGTGAGCAAAAGAAACCCTGCACAGTGTACGCCTCTGCCTGACACAAGGGACATTGAAACAGAGAGTCAGCCGCTCCGCACCCCATGCAGGCTGCGGCACAGACAGATGTAGTCATTTTTACGATTGGTCTCAGGTAATCGGTTATATTAACTTGACGTTTTCCCCCTTCAACAAAACACCTTTGGATGATAAGGAAGTGGATCAGAAGTATATCATTGCGCACTACGAGTAACGAAAGCAAATAATAAAATCATCAATAAAAAAGTCCTTACGAATCTGACGACATCACGAGACGATGAATTTTTCTGAGACGATCACACACAGAGAAGAGGGACCCGATGGCGTCAGGTCTTTCAAAGCGCAACTAAAAATGGGAATAGAAATTAAGGCATTAATATTCAAGTAGTGTACAATACAGTTAAACGCGGAAAATGAAAACAAGATGGAGGGCCTGTGGCATCAAGCAATAAAAAACGCTCCTCCGCCAGCTCAGTAGCGGCGCAGCTTCCTCTCTTTTACCCTCGCATATCACTATTATAACATCATTACTTTGCCCGTTATGGTTTCTCCTTCACAGGTTGCGCAAGCGTTAGTGTGGATCGCTTTCCTTATTAAGGGCGCGAAAGCCTTGACCTCACACGAATAAAGTCCACAAGAAATAAAGGAAAAGGTGGGAACAAACGTAAAAACATGGTCTAGAGCATCTCCATTGACGATAACTCTCGTCTTCGACTCAACCCATTAATGTGGTGCAGTCAGATCGAACGCAGAATGGTTGTGGCAGATCTCGTATTGGCCTACCACTAACACCTTCAGATGTTGCTATAGCAGCACACCGTTGCTGAATAGCTCTTTCGCCCAGATCATGCATTGCATTGGCGTAGGAACCCACACTCGTAGAACGTCGCAATAATGCAGCTGACGGGCAAGGCATAGCCCTAGTGTGTGGAGTTGATACCCTGCCAAGATGCTGTGAGATTTTTATGTATTGTGGCACGTGAAAGGCGCGGCGCATGCTCTCAGGGAGGTACAGTACGGACCTTTCCATGGGGCATGATAGCTCAAAAGAATCTCTTTCTTGATGTCTCCTCTGCTCATGCTCATGTGTCTTGTCCTCTGCACAACTCGCTACCTCAGAAATGGGGTTGCGGGGCCCTTCTCTTGGCGGAATCTGAACTACCCTACCCCTATTATTGACTCTACAGGGTGTGCTTGCTTTGCGGGTCTCTGGGAGTGTCGTGGCAAGCACACACCGCGGGGGCGTGCTGACCATTAGAGATGCTGCAAGCGCTTGTTGAGCACGTGGACTGTAGCCATATGGATTACGGGGTTGTATGCTGGAAGAGACCTGAGACCATATACCTGGGCCACTTTCCAACGGTAAACGTGTGATGAGCACGGGAGAGGCGATGGGGTAATCGCTAATGTCGCTTTCTTGAACTGCTACCTTAACCCTGGTGCCATAACACCGCTTACAGCTCCTCGAGCGCGACACTCCACCAGAACCTGATGTCAAAGAGGAGGCTAAAGGAGGAGGAGAACACGATGATGCTTGAATAGGCGTGGTATCTCGCGTCCGAAAAATTGAAGAAGTGGTGGGTTTCATATACCTCTTCGTTGGACTCTTACTGTATCCGTGGGAACCGAAGGTGGGCAACCTAGTAGCGGAAGAAAATCGATCGGAAGGACCAGGACTGGCAGAGACGCCCTTCGCCTCGGAATTCAAGGGCGGGGTGCAGCTCCGCTTACTGCAAAGAGCTCTTCGTCTTGTAGGGGTTTTATGCAGGGAGGTATTTGTGATCACTTCGACACAATCCCATAGCGGCGGCATCGACGTAACAGGTTGCGCTTCTTGTGAGTTAACAACTTCCTTGTGCACGTATTCAGGAGTGGCGTCTGCATCTGCTGTGTATTGAGATACGTCAATAGGTGGGTCAGTGTGGGATAAACCATCTTTCGAGCGATTAGCATAAAAATTAAAGGTTTGCTCATCTTTATTTTCAACCACCCCTCCTAGGTTATCAGGGGGTATCAAGATATTCCCATCATCCATATCCATTACATCCTTTTCCTCAGAATTGAAGGAAAACACATGAGCCCGCAGTGATGAAGCAGAAGATCCACAAATCACTTCTGTACTCCAATACTCCTCATCGCTCTCGAAGTGAACATTTCCCTCACTTTCTTGTTCATTTTCCATACAATATTGGTGATCCCAATTTTGCGTAGGCTCGCTTTGGGAAGGGTCACCACGTAGAAAATGTAAAGTATCATCAGTCTGACGCAGGGCATGCAGCAGGAATGCCGCTTTTCCTCCATCTTGGAAGTTAGAGGAAGATGCCGCAGACGAGTGACAGCACTGTCCACTGCTACCGGAATAAATGGGGTCTAGGGCAAGTTTCACTTCAGGATCGTCCATTAAATCCTCTACGTTACCATTACTAGTTTCTGTGATCGTATTGGCGTTTGTCTTACCAGTATGGGGGGTGACCCCCGATGACATCAAAATTCTTTTGGGGCTACATAAATTACGCATCAGATTCTTGCTCTCACCGGTCGTGTCACTATCTTTCACGTAGGGCTCCAAGTAGTGTGTTTGGTCGCGGCCAATAGATTTTAGCCTTTGCGTATCGTCGTCACCTACGTAGTTTGCTTTGTAAAGGGTGCCTTCCGGCACGAGTTTCTTGGAGCTTTCTGGCGAATCATATATCTCGGCAAGGCCTTTAGCTTGCTCGTCTGTACCTTTGGCACAACACTTCGACGGGTAATAGTCTCGCAACGTTTCATTTTCGCGACTGACCTCTAGGAATGTTGATGAACTCTGTGTATAGAACCAACCTGCAGCCAACTCATACAGTCGGGCCCGTTTACATATCTCCTGGATGTGAATTTCTTCTCGCTTCCGGCGCTGCAGGTACGTGAGAACAGTCAGAGCCTCGCGGGTGGGTACATTAAGGCGGTTTTTCAATGCGTCTTCCTGATGGATGAGACCTGCTAACCCCAGACGAAATAACAACTGAAGGCCCTTCCGCTCGCGCGACTCACCAGGGTAGAACACCGTGTGCCGAGCAATCCTCTCAGACTCTTCCAACAAGTCTATTTCGGGTAGGTTAAGATCTAACTGACCGCGATCTTGAGTAAAAGTTGTGTACTTAAAACCTCTTAGAGGCTTCTTTTTATGTTCGTAGGTTTCTTCCTTCGGTGTACGGCTTCCTGTGGCTTCCAGAGGGCAGATATAGTTCGTCTGCAGAGCGTCCAGTGCGCATAAGTGCGCACAAATCAATTGTCGAAGCTCCATTACTTGCATCTCTTCAATATGAAAGCGGTAAAGCTGCTCTTCTTTTAAGAGCGTGGTAGCATAACCGAGCATGAATATGAATTTCATATTCTTATCCATTAAATCAGAGAGTACCTCTATTATATCAATGGCGCCACGGGTAACAGCATCCCCAGTGTCCGTATGACGCAACTCTTGATTATTCATCCAAGACGCCATAATGCAGGCTAAGTTGTAGAAACGGTTAGTAGTAGCTCGTTTCTGCGCTTTATACGCGTCTGCTATTCTACGCATTCCATACTTCTGAGCGAAGTAATCTTCATAGTTTGTGCTATCTGCTACCCATGCGTTTCGACTACCTCTCCCTCCCTTGATATGCGCCTTTTTGCCGGCTACATGCAACAAAGTTGAACGGCGATTACTCATGAAATAGTAATTTCTAAGGCGAGTTAAGCATCGACGCCTTGCTGTGGACAGCGAGATCATACGCCGTTGCCTCTTTTGAAAGACGATAATGGGAGGTTTTGTCTCATTAACTTTCAATCTCATGCTTATCCTGAGCTGTTGACCCGCTTCTACAAAACCCGAAGGCTTGACATGGAATAAAAGACTACAATTATCGGCATTTGGCTTGGATCCTTGAAGTCTTAGGGACAATGATGTGTTTGAACAACTTGGATACTCCACCTCTGCGGGCCCAGACAGTGGCAATGGAGCGTATGCCACGACCTTTGTAAGGCCGTCAAAAGACCGCACAAACTCTTCTGTGATGTTATTTATTAGTTTGCTCTCTAGCAGGATAACCTCTCTGGTGTACTTGAGGAGTTCAAGGGCGTGGACACAATGAAAAGAGGTTATTGATGAATACAGGAGAGAGGCTACGGAATGATCATAGTGCATACCCTGACCGCCAGTATGATCGAATTTGTGCTGCAGAATATTGACGTTGCCCCCAGCGCAATGGCAAACCTTAATGTTGGTTGCTGGCTGAACATCTTGTGTCCCGATTGGTATCTGAGAATGTTGTATCAATTCTTGCTTAGTACCCGATTCGACGATACCATTTCTCACGGTATCAAAGCTGCAAATGCAAGAACCTTTCCTCCCTTCTGGAGAGACAAATATATTTGCTTTGGCTACCCTCATGTGAACAGGAAAACCCTCTGCATTAATGTGAGTTACGCGCTTCGGCCAACCACGCGGAGTGGAAAACAACAACTCATCTGGATACAATCTATTATCGCTTCGAAATCTGAGGGGTATTTCCTCTTTAGGATCACCTTTGTGCAATGGATGCCCCGTCATTACTTTGCTACCACTAAGCATACTACAGAAAGCATTACCGACATTACTTACGCTTGGATTTTCTGTTTTCGATGTCTTGATAATCTGAAGAGAAGATGTCACATAGTTATCACAATGGACCTTGATACCTGTCAGGGCGTCGATTTTGAAGTCTATAAAATTCTCTGCAGGAGTGGATATCTTGTGAGAGAAATGGTTTGTATCTGGTACCTTCTCAATCAATCCGAGGGGCTCCCCATTTAGCCGGTTCATGTTAGCGCTCGTGGGTTTGACCGCTAACCTCACATGCACAGGAGTACTACACGGCGTGTCACTGCCCTTAGTGTCGTTGGGAGTGGTGTGGGCACTCTGTGTGAATTGAATATCTTGCAAGGAAAGAGTATGAGCCCGTGAGATGTTCGAAATCCCACTAGTTGCCCCTGCATGGCTTCTGTCGCTGCACCCCGAGGGCGACGAAGCAGCTGAAACATCTCCATCACATTGAGGTGTTGGCGGCTTAAGGCAATGAGAGGAGGGCCTCTCTTCGAACACATGCGGATATGTCTGGAAATGAGCTAAATGGGATGTATGAATATTGCAATCACGTAAATTATTATTCTCACTTCCATTACAGAAAAAAATGCTTGAATCACCCTCAGCTTTACCCGTCACCACGTCACAGGCAGTTGAAGGCACGGTCTCGAGGCCATGCGCTATCGCTGCACTGAGTGAACGCGAAGATGAAGACACTGATCGGGCAAGTGGAAAGGAATATGGTATAAGCGAATTTTCCGAGCAGAGTGTAGAGCAGTCTCGTGAAGATGGATTACTTTCAACTCTGGACACCATATCGTCGTTTTGATTGGCAGCTTCACGAGACCGCCAGATTGGCGACACTACAAAGCGCTTGGACTGGGTGCCGAGGTTTTTAGCTCCGATCGCTCGCTTTAGTACCTGCCGCATGCTTATCATGGATCCTTTCTTCCCCATAGATAATTTATAGAAAGGGTTATTTATACACCCTGGTTCCCGTTGTGGAAAGAGCGGTCCTACGCCTCTTGACTCTAGTGCTGGAGAATACTGATGAGCACCGTCTTCATCCTGAATATGAAGCTGATCAAGGTATGTACACTTGATGTGTTGACCATGAGCATAATGCGATGATCTCTCAGATAACCCTTGTTTCTGGTCGTTCATTTCGAGGTGCTCGTGGTGTGAATTAATTGCAGTCGAGTCACTATTAGTCTGGCTTGGAGGGTCCATTTAGACGGTATATCTTTGAGCTAAATAGATTTGATATTTATTACTCTGGGCTCAGAGTATTCGCTAGCTTTCTCTGTCGAGCCCTCTAAGTGTGATCCAAAATAGAATCTCTACCACTTTATAGCAATAAGTGTAAAATTTAATAGAGTAGGAGGATAAATATCCTCCATCAAGATACTATGAGTCGATGGATAACATACAATGTAAAGGGGAGGACTAGATATCGCAACTGAAACACGCAAGCAAATCAATAAAATTCAATTTATCTGGTGTCGAAACGGAGATAATAGGAGAAATTTTATTGTGCTGTGAATGTTCATTTAGTATGCACACGTTACAGAGGTAATGGGCTTCCCCTTTGGCGGTTGCGTGATATATTCCACTGTAGCCCCATAATTAAGAAACTATGAAGAAGTTAGACAAGGTATGTGCCACACCTTGCAAATTGGATGCTGACCTTCACATACATATACACTCACACTCACTCACATGCACACGCACACAAAAAGTAACTCCATTAGTTACTGTACTGCCCTTTTCTGCATTATAAACAGCTCCTATTTAGATTTGGTTTTGATGATTATTTATATTACTGGTGAGGAAAGAAAAGTGAGAGAGCGCATTAACGGCTGTATAGGTCAAAGTACTCAGCTCGTCCAAAATGCACGTTGGAATGGTGCAAGGCTGAAAAAGTGGTAGCATGTATAAACTGCTGCACACTATATATATATCGTTTCCTGAGTCTTTTGTACAATGAAGATTCGATTCGAGACTAAAGTTTTACCACTCGAGAGCGCTAAGGTCCGCCATTGCCCATATGCACCGCAACAGATGTACCAGACGAGTATCCTTCAAAGTACCGGCCACTACCACCCTCTCGATTTGCCTGCAAAACGCAACCAGACCGGCTAGACCCAAAAAGTTGTTCTCCTCTAGTCTTTTTATCCCAGCGCTCATGAAGGAAGATTCATCAAATACAGGCGCTCCCGGGGGAGTAGCGGTGTAGCCTCCCGCGGCCTCCATCGCTACCGTAGTGGACAGTCGTGTAAGTTCCCCATCACTGACATCTGTATTAACTTTAAGAAACAGACACAACACCTCCAGGACATCGTGTGGAAGAATGCACTGCACTTCCATTTGGGATCTTAGTTCTTCTTTTCTCCGCCCAGGAGAATACAACGGCGCTGGGAAGGCGTGCAAGTAGTCGAGGCTGGAAGTTGCATCAGACACAGGCATCAAAAAAAGATCGGCAAGAAGTTCGCCCAGCGCGACACGTAGGGCTGTCTGAGAAGACATGACCCCACGCGATGAAGGTCGTAGCGCCCGCCATCCCGTTCGAGGAACCTCCTCAGCAAAGCAGTTGAGCACTGTTTCGCGCAGCTGCCAGCTCCGTGGCATCAGCTCCATTCCTTCATCACTTTCCGCCATCGGCACGACATAAGTGAAGAGATGCGTCAACATGCCGATCCAAAGCTGAAGTAGCCCCATGGGTTGTAGACGCGTCGCAAAGATCATGCGATGGGCTGTGCGCACAACTACCTTAAATACCTCAATATCCTCTGCAGTGCAGAAAATACAGCGGCGACCGAGGTACTCCAGTGCATCATCTCCCTCTACAAGGCGTCGTTGCATTTCATAAGCGTTTCGCAAGGAGTAGATTTGTTGCATCAGCCTTCTTGAGAAGGCAAGCACAAGAAGCGTTCCGCAGGGTGGTGGCATAAACAGTGGTGTCACGCGTCGCATGCACTCGTCCACAATGGATGAAGTTGTGACACCTTTCTCATGCTGCCGCTGTTGAGCCACAGCAAAGGCCCTGTTTTTAAGCTGTTGAAGCACTGGATCATGCAGCGCAACTACATTGTCGAGGCTATCGCAAAGGTCACCGATCGAGGTAGCTGACTGTCGCACAGCCGCACCGCCTCCTTCTCTAACCCACTCCTCAAGTTGCACTATGCAAGCTTTGGGATGGCTTAAGTAACGTTCCAAGAGATAACGAGTCAGGTCGCGATACCGCGCCAGGGTAAGGTAAACGCCTTCTACACTCCACGGCAGTGCCATGAGGAGCTCAGAATGGATAAGAGCGTAAAGGCAAAAGGTAGCCTGTGCAGGCCTGCTCCAGCCACCAGTGGAATCGCCCAAGCTATTCATGCTATAGACCTCTGTCAAGCAAAGTTTAGAATAGGTAGGGATTGCTTCGATTTTTGAATCAGCACTCAAGGTGACAAGTGTGGGAATAAGCGCCCCGGTCAGCACTGATTCAACTTCCTCAGCAACTCTGCCACGGCGCTCCAGAAGTACCAGAACTGCGTGAGAAAGCATCAAAGTGAACCGAGCGTCACATGCAAGCAAACGGCATGCAACAGACCTTGGACATGCTTTGAGCTGTTCGAGAAGGATAGTTTCATCTTGAGGGGCAGCACCGAGAGCTACTTCTAACTCTGTAGCTTCTCGCCCGGAAGTTTCCTCGTCGTCATCAGAAGTCTGCCACTTCGATGAGTCAACGGCAAAAAAATGGGAGCTTGTCGGCAGCTGCCCACACTGTGAGGAAAAATGGTTATGATGGGAATCCACAACAAGCAAAGAATAAAGCTCAAACAAAAGAGAGGTAAGGTGCTTCTGCCGCTCAAGCAGAAGTAACGGATAACAACTCGAATGATACACTGAGTAGAAGACACGACTAAGGTAGCGGTTCAGCTTTGTATCAGGGGTATACTCGGTCAGGGGAACTGTCCATTGAGTATATCTTTCCCAAGCAGGGCTTCGACTACGCGGTCTCTTTCCCCCTATCCTAATGCATGCTGTTTTCGCTTGATTTTCGTTTTTAGAAGGATCTTTCGTGATTTTTTCAAAATAATTCATCGACTCGTGCAATGCACGTTCTGAGAAGCGGCGGTAGACCTCTTTTAGGTAGTGCAGTACATCCTCGAGCATATGGTGACCGTCATCATGGGCGCTAATTCCAGAGTTTCCAGCTGTGCCAAGGCTCGCTATAACAGTCTCTTCGTTTGGCACCTGTATCGCGGTGAGCTGGGCGTAAACCAAAAGCAATGAGGGCCAGATGTGTAATCGGGAAGGGACACGTTGTAAATGTCCCGCTGCTTGCAACTCTGTCTTCTGAATGGCGCACCAAAAGAAATCTCGAATAATTAATCGGTTGTGAGAGGGAGAAAAAAATGATGACGAATCAATTAACGATAAGTTTTCTTGGACGTAAAGATCAATCTGTATGCTTGCCATGTCCTGAAAGGTTCGTAGAAGCGTCCTCGAAAAACACTGCATCGCCCACATCATGGCGTCTGACAGATCCGCAGGTCTTCCAGTAATATTATCTCGCGAATCTATCCCTCGTTTCTTCGTAATTCTTCCCATTCTCTGGGCGAAGTCCCCAGTATGTAACACAAGGCAGAGCAAGAACAGCCATTGGGATTCAGTTAAAACCAAAGAAGAAGAAGAAGTATCGCTCTTTTTTTGCGCCTGCATAAAATCAGACCCTATCAAAGAAGTGGGGAGCTGGTTAGCCTCAGCCTCTCCCTCTTGGTCGGCATCTGTTCCGCGTAAAGTGTAAACATATTTTGCGAAATACCGTACCCAACGCCTCCAAAGCTGAAGTGCGTGATGTTGAGCAAAACCTTGCACTGCAGCGCGCTGCCACAGCGATCCTATGGAATCAATAGAACCCATAGCTTCAATGTCAGCGGTGTCACTTGCCGATGACATCACACCAATAGACGTGGTTGTCCATCTTGCGGTGCCATCAAAACACCTCTTCACATCCTGGGCGAGTTCAACCCACTGATATCCCAAAAGTGCTGTCGCCCCGGCGCAGAGCGTCCGGTAAGAGTGCGCCTCCATCGACAGAAGCCCGAACATCTCGACCAAATCATCTGTACCTGAGCGCCCCTGAATTATATCACTAGCTCCTATTGAGCGCTGAACTATCTGTTCCAAAAGGCACCTAGATATAGTGCCAAGAAATTCCCTCATCCAGCTCGATCCCTTCAAGTCGATATGCCGCTTATTGGCTACAGTTGTATTCGGCGCAGCTAACATTTTCTCATCGAAATCCAGCTGGCATTGGGGATCCGGTTGTTGTAACTGGAGTAATCGAAATCGCTCTTCGCTCTGCCAGCGCTTATAAAGCGGGATTATAAGATCAGACAACCACAAAGTATGATGATGATCATGTCCCTGAACAATCTGGCGGGCCAAGTCTAGGGTGCTGCACTCCACTGACGAGGGATATAGTGGTAACTGAAGCTGGATATTTTTCCTCCAGTTGAAGAATGAAGGCAACACATTTACTTCCTCCGTGGTCAGATTATCACTGCTTTGTGCAATGTTGACTCTGTTTAGGTCGTCTTCATGTGCGTTACTTTCCTCATCTACATCTGTCTGCACAGAAGTTTCACTACCATATACTAGCAGTCTACACAGGCCGCGCAGGATATCATCAGATTGCGCAGGATCTAGGCAGGATGTCGTCAGATCTGAAATAGGGAGCTCTGACTCAATGCATCCAACGGAATCGTAAAGAGTATTAAGAAGTGTCGAGTGGTTACAATCTCCTCGGAGTCGTGAGAGAGAGTCAGTAATAGGGTGGTAACGAATCTCGGCTTCTGGCTCGATTAGCCGGCGCAAATTTTTATCCCTTAATAATACAGTCTTGACTTTGGTATTACTTTCATCTTGATATTGATTTGACATGGCCTAACACAACAAGGAAATTACTTTCCTTACTGTTTATGTGACTGTATCTCGCTATACAATCTCCGATAAACAAAAGTCATAAGCACAAGTATTAATATTAAAGTTTACGGGCTGCACTTGTCAGCCATTGCATTTCACATTTGCAGCACGAAGGAATCGATAGTAGGTTTTATGGCGATCTATGAACTCTATCACGTCGAAAGTTATACAAAAAAAAAACTGCTATCTCTATGCAGTTCGAAAATCCGACAATAATAATAATAAAAAGAATACGTGCGATTCTATAATAAATATAATAACGACTCTACTTATGACATCATAATGAAAGGCAAAATAATAAGTAAGAATAGAGAAAGAACCCGAAAGGGTATGTGTGTTATAAAGCTTCAAATGTCTCCTTAATCTGATCAACATAATCCTGTAAAAGGGATTCATCATCGCCGTCCATGAGGAGAACCAGGTACCGCAAGCAAGTTTTGGCGTCGCCAAGCATTTGTACGTGTTGCAGTACCAACATACGATCCTGAGAAGCCCTGCTTTTACACTTTACTCTCTGTCGACCGGCGATGACTCCCTCCAGTTCAGCCTTGTCAAATCCATAATGAGTAACCACATCCTTAGGGACATGTGTGTCGCTTAGCATCCCACTTCTTTGTATGATCTCGACACACTTTTGGCGTTCCTGTAGGTACGCCGATGGTACCGTTCGTTTCCCCCCAGTCCTACCCACTAAATTACTCCTTTGGGTCTGGAGAAGAGCAATGATCGCCTTAAGAGCCGACTGTACAGTCTTGACATCCTCTGCTATTTGTCTTTTCCATGCCAAGATAGAAGCGTGCAGCGGTGCATCTATGTGAAGAAACGGCATCGACATGGGATCATGAATATTACTCCTAAGTGTATCTTGTGCCGCAAAATGGCGGCCAACGCAGTGTGACGCCATGGGCAACTTATTTGGGACTTCATAATGCTCATTTTGCAGACGACAGTTCCACGGCGTGGCATCTGCGCGATGGGCTTTATGCTCCCTGGTAGGCTCTCTCAACGTCGCTCTCGATAGCGAAGGCGAGAAGTGCCTTGATGAGACAGAGGTCGAGATTCGGTGTGTTTCCCGGCTCTTGGCTGATGCACTTAATTCCTCTCGTTTGAGCAAGGGAGGCTGCCCAGCGTTCAGCGTTAATGGAAGGCTACATCCCACCACAGCCCGTCTCGCCGCACGCAGGATTTCGGATGACCTGCCTCTTACAGGTTCATCTTCAACAGAGACATCACGAATAGGAGAGCATCCAGGCCGACCATCATCTGTCTCAGTGTTTATCGGTAAGATGTCCTCCTGATGTAAGGCCCGCTCAGCAGCGTATAGCTGTACGTAAGAAAGAGGTTCGTGCAGCACCTGAAGAGTCGGGTCAGAGGTCCTGCATTGGTCTTTAGAAATGCAGTTAGCATCCCCAGGACGCTTATCAATATGCACTGCATCGGAGGTCGCTTCATCAACCTCAGGCGATAGCAAGACCCCTTGGCTGGAAACAGTCCTTTTTCGTATGGAAGATTCAGCCTCCATAGCTCGCAACGGGTGTCTAGGTGGACAAAAGCGGTTTGGCTCATAGGGCTTCGATAGATCTACGGCCGTGGTATTGGGATAAGTGGGTGGAGCGGTGTAGCACGGAGATTTTGCAATGAAGCTACCTTGTGTGATACGATAAGATTTGCGAGAGGAGGCTCGCTTCTTGCCAACGTCACCGACCCTGCTTGCCTGTACAGTGGGAGTATCAGGTGGGCCGTGCACCTCTTTATTTTCGCTCAGCTGCTGTTGTTGTTGAAGTTGTGTTACATGCTCCACAATAGTGGTTTCCAGGTACTTCTTTGATTTCCCCGCAAGCAACTTCGTCATCTCCACTCTCAGAGAATTCGCGTTGCCACGGTGCTGCAGCAATCTTTTCCTCTGTTCAGCTTCACGAAGCTTCGCCTCACGCTGTGTCATATGGCGTACCGTACTAACTACGCGAGCGGCATCACTATACCCTTTCCGTGGTGTGGCACTATGAGTGAGAAGGTAAAGAAGATTCACTGCGTTTTCGGGTGGTTCCTCATCCCTAGGAGCCACGCACTCGGGCGTGCCGCGGCTTGAGGAAGTTACATGATGAGACGTATGTAGAGAACGATCACCACGCGAAGCTGTCTGGCCATCCCCGGTCTGAGGCATCGTAACAGATCTCACACCATTTTCAACATCAAAAGAAATTCGTGGCTGGTGTGTGGTGTCAATCAACATTGGCTGCCGCATGTAGCTTTCCTGTCGCTCGAGCCTTTCAGCGAAACGTGACTGGCTAAGCTTTCTATTGTCTATCATCATCAGAGATGGGCAGAGATTGCGTATCATTGGATAGCAGCCTTTGCCCTGCGCCGTGTCATCTACGATAGGGTTTCCTTTGAGGAGAAGATGCCGAAGTGAAGAACAAAGGGATAAGGCCCTCACAGCAGTGTAGGTCCGCAGTTGATTGTGTGAGAGGTCGAGAGTTTCTAAAATAAGCAGGTGAGCAAGACCCTGCACGGTCTTGATGCAATTGCGGCCAAGAAAAACATGTGCAAGACACGTGTTGCACTCGAGTCCTGTGATCCGATCGATTCTATTACGTCGTGCATTGAGGACAGTTAGCATCGTGCAAGAGTTCAAGCCATTGAGTAGTGTTAAATCGTTGTTGCTGATGTCCAGCTGAAGAAGGGTGGCAGGGAGAGCCTGCATGCTCTTAAGATGGTTCCCACTAAGATTTAGGACAGTGATAGTAAAGTAATTGTTGCGACCAACAAAAGCAGCAGGCAGTTTCACTGAAGCCTCCTGATCAACTTCTCCAGAAGCGTATAGCTGCTGAGAAGCTTCCTCATGGGCTTTGATGACGTCCCATACCGATTGTGTGTCCCCATGAGTATGAGATTCCCACAGAGCACTTGTTTCTGGATTCACTGTACGCGAGAGGTCTAGAACGCTACCTACTACAGGGTTCAGATTGGCGGTAAAGTCCAGCTCTTCGTTGTCTTCAAAGGGCTCGTGAGGCCTGATGCCCGGTCTACCTCCCGACTGACAGTGGTGTTGTTTACTGTCTTCCCTATCTTCGATAGCTTCACCTTGTCCATAATCGACGGAAGAACCTTGATTGTGTGCGGACGGCAGAGCTCCTGATGATGAGCGTAGGAGGAAATCAGACTCGCTGGAATAGGTCGATGCTCGGCGTGTTTCGGATTTTTTACGTTCCTCGCGAAATGGCGATATAGCTGGAGCCTCTTCTAAAACACACGAGACTTGTATCGAATCGCTGAATCTCTGTGGGCTGAGGCTAGATGAACTCTGAGGAGGTGAAAGGGTTTTGTGAGCATCACTGGCACCGTTGATGGTGCTGTGGGTAACATTGTTGTCGTCCTCATGCATTACATCCAAGTTAATCTGTACACTTTTTCCAAAAAGTTCCTCCCGGCGCCGCCTCAACGCCTCTGCATTGCCGACAGTGGATGCGGAAACGCAAGACGGAAGAGAGATCGCCGTGGCAGTTCTAGACAATTGGCTGACGCTCACAATTGGAAAGGGGTTGTGACCGTAGTGAGGAGATGTGTTCTGGCTTACAGAAATGTCAGGTGAATTTTTGGATGCAGATATCTGCTGGGAAGTTGGTGGCGCCTCTGAAATTTTTCTGAGAGACAGGGGGCTACTGTTGGCATTGCTTCTGTCAAGTTCCTGAGATTGAGAACAGCACTTTGTTATGTTAATAACGTCCTGACTTTGAGTTTCATTTCTATCATAGTGCACTTCACACACATACTCGGTTTCGTCAATGGCTTGACTCAATTCAGCGATACCCTCCTTTGTGAAACAGTTCTCCGTTACAACCAGCAATGCCACGTTTGGGCAAAAGAGAATTATAAAACATAGATGCCTTATGCACTGGTCCGTTAAGCCATTCTGCATCAATAGGATGTGCCACCGGATGACAGTGACATCATTGAAAGAGTTAAGCTTCAGTAAAGTTTCACATAAAGCAATGACAACCTTATTGCCAAGACGCTGCCCACTAAGATCAAGTTCAAAAGTCCATCGTGTGTCACCGTCAAATTTTCGTTTCGTGTTGGCATCATCGTTGTTCAAGGGGTCATCGCTTTGATGTTTTACTTCTCCATAGAGGGAATGAATGTCTGTCCCCAGAACGCAGGCGCAAGATGATGAGCATCTACCAGCCTCATTTGCTTCAGTTCCTTTTTTGTAAGTTGTTTTGTCTTCTAAAGTCATATCAGAGAATTCGGTTGCGGTTTCAACGACCATCAAACGTTCCCGAACTTGTTTTTCACATTCCGATGGCTGCGCAACGCCTTGACGGCGCAGCTCCATGGCAAACACAGCAATGAATTTCCTCTCCACCTTGTCGACAGGATACATCTCGGTTACGAAAAAAACTTTTTCCCCTAACGGAAAACGAAAAACTATTAGGCGCAATTTCACAATAACTGGTGCTCTGGATGCAAAGAATAAAAAGGACGTCCAGTGGCAGTGTATACCCCTCAGCAAATATGCAGTGCAATTAACTCGCTTAAGATGATTTATACTTTAGACTCTGATTTATGTCCCTGGGAAAACCTTTCTTATGGTTAAGTATCATCCGTGAACAAAAAAGGCTGTTGTGGGAGGAGACAATTAGGGTTTCTTTCCTTGGAAGCTCCATTTCAAATATATGCCATTTATCACTGCGGGAGTGTCAGCTAGCTAATCAGCATGTAACCCCAGCCTTCATTACACTCATTAGAGCTCCGATAAACACCCTTATCAAGTAGAATTAGAAAAAAAGCAAATTACACGGGCAAAATGGTTAATTTAGCCCCGAACTGATTATAGAAGTTTTCCCTTTACAACAAAATTATGCAATGCAGGGTGTACTTCCTCACCTGCGGCTCTCATCGTTTGTTTCACGGTTTCAAATAGCAGGTGCCTTTTTAACAGAGTTGCTCGTTTCTCGAAGACCAGCGTAAAGATACGACGGAGTACTGGGTGAGTAACTTCCCCGCCACGAGTGAGAAAGCTTGCAAGATTCACAAGCATCAAAAGATCGCCACGCCAGAGAGCACTAGTCGCACTGTTCTGTGATATACACTCCTCCAAAGAATGTACGCTATTGCAGGCAAAATTGTCAAAAGAGATCCCCCCAATTGAAGCATGAGCCTTTTTGTGAACTTCATTACTAACGTCACCACTTTCTCTCACGCCCACGTCAGAAGAGGGGCGCTGCTGCTGCTGCGGGACATCGAGAAGGCGATTTAGCTGATCTGCACATACACGCAGAACATCGCGATGCGCCGCAGGTTGGCTCGTCTGCTCCACACAGCTACGAAGAATTGTTTCAACCTCCCTGGCCACTAGCCGATGAGCGCTGTAGTCTCCATCAGCTGAAGAAAACCTGGAATCAATCCACAAACGTGATAAATATTTGAGGAGTGCGTCAACAGCAGGCATAACGGTCAGTAGATGATGCTTTCCACCGGTGTATAACTGGCTTAGTATAACAGAGACTTGTGACGCCGTAAAAGGTGGTTCTATATTTTCGTCGTGGACGCACATCAATCCCACTTCATCTCTTTTCTTAGACCTCAAATCTTCAGCGGAATTCAAAAATTTATCGACCAGCTCTATGATGCGAGCAACAAGTTGGGAAAACAGTTTGTTGTCGACATCAACACAGGCGCGTTGAAGGGCCTCCATAATGCGTGCTAGAGTGTAGCCATCCGCTTCATAACGAACCTCACTGAAACGAGCGGCAGTGCTCGTTAGAAGAGCCCCGGAACGCACACCACAGGCTACGAGGAGGAACACCAAATCAGCAAGATCTCGCGGGCTACTCGTGCAGATAAGCACAGAGGTCGTGTAATCCGACAGGGTTCGTAGCGTATTGTAGTCCTGCGACCCTCTAATCGCTATCAGCTCCAAGGCAGCCTTGATCACCCCAACGCCGCTCATCCCTTGCGTGTGTGCCGCGATGTTTTCGAGAACTGCAGCACAGATGGGCTCCCGTGGGAAGCAGTCCCGGAGACATCGCAAAATGGAGGTGGAGGTCAATCCAACTGAAGTAATGAAACTTGGATCGCTTTGTAAAATATGACGCACATGTGCCACAAAAACAGGTTTTGCAGCCGTCACACACGCCGTTTTAACAAGCGGATGGCCCGAACAGATGCCACATCGAAGCAGGCGCAAGGACAAATCTAACGAAAAGCGTTGTGTGATGTCTGCAACGCGCCCTAGCAAGACACTGAAGAGATATTCGTGGTAGATTCCAGCCGCACAGTACGCTTCAACACACTGTACAACTTCCCCAGGAGACAATGCAGGGCAGGCACGAATGGTGCGCGAGATAAACGCGCGCAGGACCTGCGCCCGAACAGCCTCATCGTTCGTGACCTCAGCATACCCACTAAGCACTGCTGGTGTGTCATGCTCCATACCGGTCTGTGGGGACCGCAGCACCGGCACTGATAACAGACGGGGCAACTTTTGTATCAACTCTTTTTCTACTGGCTCACAGGCTTCAATTGCTTCTGTGCGGCGGCCGAGAACAGCAGCGATATGAACCAGCTCCCCGTACTCGGACAAGGTGATACGTTGTCGTTGGATATTTTCAGAGCGACATAATCGAGCAAGGGTTCGCCCATAAGGCACCATGAGTCCTAGTCCTGTGTTTTTGCTGCCAATGTTATTCCCGTTGTTGCTACACTTTTGATCTCTATATGATAGTGGCGCGGTAGCTACCGTATTGGCAGTGGTGAGCCCATCATACCGAGCTAATGTGCGCAGGGTTGCGATACAATCTGGAAGCGACAGCATCGGCCGCCCACTTTTTATATGAACCTCTGAAAGAGCCTGCACAAGGCGCTGCAGCATGTTTCTAACTGGAAGCGCATCGGTCGGCACCTGGCGCGCGAGCATTTCATCTAGAACATGCACATTTTGCCGCAGCGTAAGGTGTGATTCTGTAGCTTGGAGTGTCTCAAGAAAACACGTAGTGAACTGGGGATCTCCCCGTAGACAAACAGTACTAGAAGCACAAAGGAGCCTCTGGACAATTGCACCCGTTGCGGAGCTACGGGAGTCAATGCGTCGGCTAGTTTTCATGATTTGTACAATCACATTGGAGAGACCTGTATAAAGATCCCGTGAGACAAGATGTATGGTATGTGGCACACACATTACAACGGCAATTTCAGTGAGAAGCGTGAGGGGAAGTTCGCTACCTTGGTTGCTTTCTCCATTGGATGAGATACTGGAAGTGCTCTCGCGAAGCACCTGTGCCACAACAGGGTCGAGCATATCCGTTCGAAAGACTCTGAGTGCAGTTGGCTCTGCTTCAACAGGATGATTTGTAGAAAGACGAAAGAGCAGATGAATGATCGACAGAGCAAAGCGCCGCTGGTTTTTCGACAGGGACGCAATGCTCGGATTGTGGATATCCGTAGGAGTGTAAACATGAGTTCCAAGGACGGGAATGGATTTGAGATTTACAGCAACGATGTAGTTTAGAGCAATGTTTGTTGTGCGTATGTGAGCCGATTGTGGATGACGTGTAATAGGAAACCGCTTCTCGGCCACACACGTCATAAGCTGACCAAGCTGCTCCACTACCTGAAAGGCAGAGCAAAAGGCGTCATCGGCCGATTTGTCTTGCGATTGGAAAACATCAGGTGATGTATTGACAACTGTTGGTGTCTTTTTGCCAGAACCAGAGCTGAATATGCCATCACCATCTTTCACTTTTATGAGCATTGTATGAACGGAGGTGAGCTGTTTAACTGTATTCATATCCATACCACAAATCACGGCGCACGCTGTAAAGCGAAAAATTAGTTCCAGCAGAGCGCCCACGGATAAAACAGGATTTGCTATCGCACCCGTGACGGCGGTAGTAATGGTACCATCATCAATGCCACCCTTTTTTGTCTCAACGGAGAGGGAATCCGATGACGACGAAAAGGGTTTGGAAGTCGTCAACTCAGAATTAAGAGAACGTAACGAAGAGGATCCCTTCTTGTTTGTTGTACGAGTGAGCCTGTGAAAGATAGTAGCAGAGACCCGCTGCTGAAAGAGAGCGACCACCTCCGAGAAGCCCTGTTCCATAGTTAGCGTTGTGACGCGTTCCTCTCTATTGCAGTGAATGGAGGTGGTTTCCCGGTTAAAGTTATCTGCTCGAATCTCCATCCCCCCAACATAAGCAAGGCGTTTTGCAATCTTTGTCGTTAGAACCTCTAGCGCCTCCACTAAGTAGACTGTAGAATTCTCTCTCTCTAGAATAGGGAATAGATTCAGAATCAGATTCCTCGAAGTAGACTCATCGCCACGCGTGAGAAACTCCACCGCAACGCAGAGAACCGTATACAAGGTCAGGTCCACTAACTGGTTCATCTCATCTAGAGTCACAACCTCAGTAGTCTGAAGCTGACCTTTTTGTTCTGCGACTACGTTTAGACGCGTGTCTGACTTGGGTTTTTCAAAATTGATTTTACTCCGTCTTTTGGTGTCCAATTTTGCTGCGGCCATGAAGAAATTCGTGCGTTTCGTACACAAAGGCTGCATAGCGAAGCGCTCAAGTCTATTAAAAAGGCTCGTTTGTCCTTTCTCGGTTTGCATCAGTATTTCCGTATGCGAAATGGAGAGCCGTCGCGCGCTTTTCATGCATAATTCTGAGAGGTCAAGAGCCGCATCCATGAGGGTTGCTCTTACGCGAACCGGGAGAGGGTTTGTAGCGAACGACATCGAAAAGAGTGCTGTCGCGGCGGTTATACTAACCAGCTCAAGAGAATCCATAGAAAGATAAACTGCATTTTGGAGGACTACCTCTGGAGCATAGCCCACACATAGCATTGCGTAGAACAACTGTGCAGCCACACCATGTAGCAGCGGTCGTGGCGGGAGCTGGTCTTCCGAGAGTCCGGGGTTGGCTGCTCGCAGAGCTGCTTGTCTTGTTGCCTCCTTTTCATCCAACAAAGCTGGAAGAGACGCCGCGCGTAATTCTAAAAAAACAGCTGCTGCTGCAAAAACATCTGTACACATCTGCCCATAAGGGCCTCCGGGCCACTGCTTCAATTGATCAAGTTGATAGGCAAAGGCTTCTGAGCACAAAAATAGAAAAATATCTGGTCGAAACCGCACTGCTCGACAGGACAGATGAAGAATACGAGTGGCTTGCACTTGTACATACTGCTGAAAATCCTGAGGCACTATCAAAGCAAACGCTTGGGTGATGTGCAAGGCCAAAAGAGAATCTTCTAGATGCGAGTTAAAATTCTCTATTGTAATAGACCCTGTGTCTTCTGGATCAACCTGAGTGTACTGTGAGAAAGTTTTTTGAATTTCAGAACGTCCCTCTTCCGCTATTGCATTCCATTGACCCAAAACAAAAGCCTCGTCTTTTCGTTTATCAGTCTTGCATCTCATAGTATTATGTGCCGTTTCAGTCCATTTTTGACAGAAAGCTCTTTTTCTGAGCTCCACAGCAAGTAAAACAAAGTAATACCGGAAACACAAGTCTGACACACTGACACTTTCGGAATTAGGGTCGATATCAATGAGAACGCTCGTGAGTTTCGCGAGGATCGGTTGAACCACACCCTCAAGAAAATATCGAACTAGATTCACCTTCCAGTCAGGCTCAACCATTTGCACACCGCCCTCTCCTACGATCTTAAAAGGGGCTGGTGCTTCGTGGGCGCTCTTCCTGGATGAAGACGCCTGAACTATAGCTTTTCCCATGGCTACAACGGACTTGGAGCTATTTTTACCGATTTGGCTAGTCGCCTTAGCGTGCCTATTGTGATCCAGTTGAATGCAGTAGAGTTCCAGCATCACCCACGCGCACCGACGTAGAACACCAGATTCACCTTGAAGTTTCTGCCAACCAGATGAAATTTCAGACCACACTCGTGATGCCTCGGATAGAAACGCTTCTAAGAGTTTCTGATAAACCGCTGTCATCCACATTGACTGGCTAGAGAGTCGACGATACATACGCAGAAAAGAAAGAAACAGTGAAAGAGTACATTCAGTGTCTGCACCACAAAGAATATTCGATAAACTGTTGAGCTTGAGCTCAACTACGGGTAGAGCACACATTCGACCACGACGAGGCGCTGAATTGTCCTCATCATGAGGTGAATGAAAAAGCGAGTGCATCTGTGGATATTCGTGAGGGGCTTTCAATATTTCTGCTAAAAAAGTTGTGGGTCCTTCCAAGGAGGTTTTGCTAGTGGTGGTGGCTGGGGTTTTGGCGTGGGCATCGGTATGAGGGTTGTAACTTCTCGCCAAAGCGGCTGAGTAGATGATACCATAACTGGATGGAGAGCACATTGGATTCAGAGAAGGTTTGATATGCATAAGTAATTGCCACTCACTTACGATAGCTTCAGGATCGACCTCTATCGTTGTAACGGCGCTGCGAACTGTTGATATTAACTCGCGTTTCTTCCGTCGGCGTGGCTTTTCGTGTGTTTCATTTGGGGGTCGTGACTTAACTTCAGAATCGGCCCTATTGCTGCATGGTTTTTTTCCAAAATTCCCACCAACACTCTTATTAGAGGGTGAGGAGAAAGTTGTATCAGCTGATATTGAAGAAGAGGATGGGTTGGGTACTGCGGTAGTGTCTGATGCTGCCCCTGCAGTAACTTTACGATTTCTACTCCCACGAAGCACCAATGGTGTTTGAGAGAGGCAGTAGGTCCTAAGGGTTCCCAGCGAATAACCCACGTGCTCACGCATATAGGAAAAATAGAACAACGAGCTATAGCATAGACTTCGGCGCAAAAACTGCCCATGAATAGTTATTCCCCTCTCAAAGGCAAAGAGGCAGCTGATGCGGTTGCGAGTGCTAGAGTACTTCATCGAGATGCCATAAAATTAGACTACAGAAAACAAAATAGAAAATACAATATAAATCTCCAAAAACGAAGCTAGGTATGTACACAGTTTTTTTCAAATATTTTGCCAGGACTTTCACCAGATTTCCTTAGTGTACCGTTCCCTGGGTCCTTCACATTCAGAGGAAATGAAGAGAATAGGTGTGTTTTCAGAAGTTGAGGAAAAGAAAGAACCACGTGGATTCGAAAAGGAAACTCTGTTGAATATATGAGGAATACACCTGGAGGGAAATATAGATCAGGTTACTATACGTAACAAGGCAAAAAAAAGCAATTTTGCTCTTTAAAGTGAGTAAGAAATAAGGGCTTCCCAGAGCCGATGAGTGAAATTCTTTTGCGTTGACCAAATGAACATGATAAGTGAATGGACTTGCTTGCACTGTTTTAGCATAGAGACATGATGTCCAGAATCGAATATGTTCAGCTAATATTTTTACTTTAATTTTATCGTTGTTGACGTCAACTTTTAGAACACCTTCCCGTGACGAAGAACTGATCGCACGTCTGGGACCACAAGCAACGCCTCCAAAAACGTGATGAGGCTGAGAAGCACTTCGTCTTCTTCCGGATCCCCACATCCCACCATGCCATTGCCCCCTACAATGCCACTGGACGTGGCACAATTATCGCTACAGTCCTTGATGACTTTGCGGGGAGCTTTCTGAAGGTCCATAGACGGAATATACGGCATAATAATAAGGGCGTTGTCACGATTTAGCAATGTGCATTCTTCAGAATTGTCGATCAGTACCAATAGTTCTGAAGGCACCTTCAACACTCGGAGGTCTTTGATGAGAACTTTAGAATTCTCATTGAAGCTCGGCCTGAGGCTGTGGTCTAAGGAACCTTTGTCAGTATAGCTGGCTTCATCGGTAAAGCCTGTGGCTGCAGAGAGTATCGAAGGTCTGTCCCCGACGGCGCTAGGGGGATGTGTGTTGTTGTCAGAAGAGTTTCTACCGAATGCACTGCATGTTGCTGTAGCTACATGCCGCCGCTCACGTAAAGTCTTAGCAAATGCACCGCGTGGAAAAATACGACAATCCTGACGATAGTAGCGTTCCTTTACAATATGGTCGGGGTCTATTCGACTCAAGATGGTGTCAGCGTACGACTTCGAAGCGGACGTAAAGAGTGCAATATTAAAGAGCTTGGCCATCGTGGTCAGGAAAATACGGGCGTAGGGACGTACCCATACATGAAAAAGCTCTGCCCCGGAAGCGGTTGGGATGACCTCAGAAAATGTAGGGGGGCCGATCATGTTAGCTGTGGATGTCGATACGTAGCATAATGTCTCATCAAGATCCATCACCAACACTTTCTGTCTTGTAGCCTGGTAAGAAAGAACGTGATGGGCCGTAATAGATGCGATAGGATGGGCTGGAAAAGCTCTACTAGGACGAAAATCAAGCTTTCGAGCACTCACGCGGCGGTAGACTACATTAGACGCCTGCCTAAACGGCTGCTGTGAGCCCCAAGCGGATGACGAGGTGAACCCATCAGCGGCGCTAGAGTTGGTGTCACCTTGCACTTCAAGACGGCGATCGCTGTACTCAGACGAGGATACGGCCGGTATCAAGCCGCCTTTACTGATTGAGCTGTTTGTAGCAGTGTTGTTGCGTACGTAGTGAGGTGGCCACTGTGGTGCAGGGTGGCGTGTCGGCAGCGTCGACACGCTGGGCTGTTGGATAGGTCCGATAACACAGCTAACTAGCGTGTGCAAAGTTTTAGAGTAATTCAATGGAAAGTCAAAAGGGACGAGAATAGATCCAATAACTTCGCCTAGACACACTTGTTGCTCACCCTTTTTACCAAGAAGAATACGCCGCTGGATGGATACGGCCCGGCTACCCCTCTTGGATGCAGTACTCGGATCAATATCTTTACATGCAGCTACCAAGGGCTTCGGTTTACGTTCAACATTATCCGACGTGAGTAGCTGAACTTCGTGCAGAGCATTTGTTTGAGAGGTATCGTTGTTGATATCCGCAGAATCGCATATAGCTTCAGTCCTGTCACAAATGCATGTGCCCCTCATGTTGGTATTACATGAACTATGTGAGTCATACTCGGTTGTCAAGAAATCGGTCTTGTCAAATGGGGCCCCAGAAGTGCCACCTCCTGTGGAAAACCCCTTACTTACATTATTACTAGTCTTCCTAGAGCGACACTGCTTCTCGATCGGTTTCTCCCTGCAGGCGGCAAGCAAATTCTTTGAAAGGGGAAACTTTCGATGGCTTTTCCCCCTAAAGAAAAAGAATAATACGTAAAGGGTCTGTCCCATCTCTCGCCACGCCTCTACACCATCTGTGACAAGCGCTGCCATCCCTAAAATAACATTAGGAAGTAGCATTTCCTGCCAGATCCACCGAAAAATGCTAATGATTACACAAAACATGAGGAATCTATAGTGCCTTGTAAATATAGGTATTCTTTCCGATAATTGAACTATCTGCCTCCTCAAATGGCAGTGTTGCAGGCGACTGTGCTAGTAATGATTGCGTGTCTGTGGAGGGGGGTAAAGAAACACCGGTAATAAGTGAACTATGCGGCTCCCTGTTAGTTTGTCAAATTTCCTTTCTCGAAGGAGAAGTGAAGGGGAATTTCCTTCGTGATACACACCACTGCACACTTGGCCCCTCGGCCTAACTCAGAAGATCAGAAATCCTTGGCTTCACGCTGCTCAAAATACGTACCTCGAGCTAGATCTGTTGCTTACAAAATAATAATATTAACCAGAAATATTTAGGTAAAAAAAAACATATTTTATCACAAAGAAAACGTAGAGAGAGAATTAGCAAGATGGTGAAGTAATGTCATATTGATTAGTCTCATCAAAGAAGAACTAGTAGAATCAGGAAATAAAAAAGAGGAAGAGAAGATAATGCCCTAAAATATTGATTAAACGCGCAATCAAAACAGAAAGTTCGAATGCTAGGGTAATATTATCATTATTATTGTTATCACCTTCGTTTTTTGGAAACCATTTTCCCTAGTCTGTATCACCTGCATAACCATCCTCTCCTGTGACTTCGAATGGATTTGCCTCTTGATCTCTAAGGGCTTGTTCTCGACGCTCTTTCTTGCGTGCTATCTTATCTTCTCTTAGACGCTTTTTTCGTTCTACATTCGCGTCCTGCTCGGCCCGTCGCTTAGCCTTCTCCACCTTTCTAGAATGTACCTTGCGCGCATTTTCTTGGATCTCATGCAGTGTTTTTTCCACCAAGCGATGGTAAATAACCTCCCCTGAGGCAAATCCATTTTCTACCTTAATTAGCTCCAGAGTCATTCGCGGGCCTATCTCCTGAAGCTTAATACGACACTGTTCACGATGTTGACGGAAGGGTTGAACCAGAGACACCTCTTCACCTTCACCATCCGTGTCTGACCAAGCATCCTCACGCTCCAGAACCTCGTCAATGCTACTTAGAGTACCCAATTTCGTTGGCCGTCGATTCTCGAGCAGTTTTTTCACTGTTCGTGTCACACCCGTAGTTTTGGAATTAACATAGTAATGCCGCACCTCGATTACGTGCTCCACATGGTCATAATGGAAAAGGCAAACACGCTGAATTTCAGAGTTCTGAATTGTTTGAATGTTTACCGTAGGAAAAAGAGCCTTGAAGGTAGCCTCCAACAATGGAACCTCCTGCCGCTTCAACGCTTCCGGGTGTAGAAAATTATTTAAGACGACAATGGGAGCAACCTCCCAAACTGCACGATCCAGTGAAGCCACTCGGCGCTGCTGCTTCACAATTTCAGGACGGAGAGTGAAACTTAACACTCGAAAAGACAGTGTAGGACCGTTAAAGAAACGCATGATACGCAGCAAGGTGCCATGAGATGGGGATGTGAATAGCTGTAGATGCGACACACCAAACGTTGAGGCAATCGCAAGGAAATCTTTTAATGTTTTATTTTTTCCGCGCAGCTTTTTGCTACTCCAGGGAAGAAACACGTTTCGCCACTCATGCATCAGGGCACGCACCTCGGGACTGACATCGCCGCGGTAGATGATAATCGACTTTGGCGTATTGGAGTCGGCCTCAGTGGTGTCCATGGCACCTGGCATGTTTCTGGATCGTTTTACCATTGCCACTCCTATCTTCTTGTTCTTCCTCTTATGACTGAGGAAAGTATGTTATATAGGTACTACAGAGTGAAGTAACCCTCCTCTATTTGGCTGCAGGCTCGTGAGTGATCTTTCAACTCTACAAGTATGAAATAAAAAAATACCATTTTATGTAGAAAAGCGTGATGAGAAAATGTAAGTACATGTAAGGAATTGAATGCCGTTCCAGGGGTTCAACCCACCATTCCGCTTAACAGTGTGTTTTGAGATGCCAAAAAACGTTCGAATCCCATAGATTCCAAAAAAAAAAGTAGGGCTATTTACCCTTAAAATCTAGACGATATGCACCTATACAATAGTTAAAACAAACAAACGCGGGAAAGCAAACTCCTCAAGCTAAAGAGCAATTCTGAGGAGGTGAAATACAAAAATTAAATCTATTAAGGCAGCCAATAGCTGTGAGAATCAATCCTTTTGCTAAATAGCTGCTCATATTCATTACCCCCGTTCAAGAGGATCTGAAGTGCCGTCTCCACACCACGTATTTCAGCATTAAAGACAAACTCATTAGGAGGCTTGCCTTCTGTTGTTTTATAGTTTCTAAACCAATCAACAATCTGTCTCTGCACCTCCATTGGCACGCGCTCTAGACTGCCGTAAGTTTCTCCACCTATCGCTATGGGCTCCACGATGATCTTCCAGTCGGTTTGATTCTGATCGATGAGACCCAACACTCCTAGGACGCGCACTGGCATGAAGTTCCCAATAGCTTCGGGCGTCGGCCCTAGCTGTACCACATCAATAGGATCGCCGTCGCCAAAGCACTTAGTTTCCTTATCTAAAACATCTGGATTTTCCCATGTTTGCGGGATGAAGCCGTAATTAAATGGTATGTTACCGTAGGAGAAAAATCTTAGAGGACATCCAGGTGCTTTATTAAAAGTATCTTGCGCAATGGGATTGTAGGCTTCCTCCTTAATTAACTCCATCTTAGCACGGCTTCCACGTGGTATTTCGTTCACATAAGTGAAGATATGATCGCTCTTGTGATCCCTATCTCTATTAGAACAATAAGCAGGCTGACGAGGAATATCGTGCCATGCAGAGACAGTACGGCTATTATTCAAACATTTAAAAAAAAGCCTCCACTCCTTCGTACCAAAATTACCATTTGTGAAAGTTGAAAAGTTCGGCAACTGGTACGACACGCTGAAAAGGCGAGCGGTGTACAGCATGCTTCAAATACGTTTCAAGTACTATTTGGTTCGTACGGGGTATGGTAAGAGTAGAAACGTCAATTATTCTGCTTTACGTACTTAAAATTTGAAAAGAACGTAAAATGGAAAAAGAAGGAGTTAGAACACGATTAAGAAGCCTAAGTCTAATATTTGAAAGTATTCACAATGAAGTATATCTTTATAAATTTAACCATCGGAAAGCTAGCGCTGGATTCTGGAATCATGGCATAAGGAATTTGTCGCTTATGGCTTGTCAATTAGAATTTACTTAAGCATTTGCTTAATAAATTTTGGAAAAGATTTACAACGGGATACAAAACAGATACCCAAATAAAGCTAAGAGTATTCCGAGCAAACGGGATAAAACTCAGGATGTACCACAATAGAAAAATCATCTGTAGCGCACCAAAAATAATGCAGCCTAAACTACTGCGCAGCCGTATGGCACAAAAAAGTGTGCAAATCACAGAAAAAACGTAAAAGGAAGCAGCCATGGCACGTTTAGACTCGAACATGTGTCTGATCTGATAAGCGAAGCCAACCAAAAATATCGAGGCAGACAAACAAAGCAGGTTCCCAAGGGTTAGGAAAAAAATAAACTTTCGTGGTGACACAACAACTGTGGCTGCCATTGTTATCGATAACACAATGCACAGAATACCTATTGCAAGAGTCATTAAAAATCCAACAACTCGTTGCGAATATGTGAGATGTATCATTTCATTGAGCGAATCAGGCCAAGACTGCTCCGGAGGCACTTCCAAAAGTTGTTCATTTTCAGGGGGGTCATTCGTGATAGTGGTACGCACCTTGCGCTTGAAGGCATCCCAATAGTTGGACAGCGTTGTTTCACTTAAATTAGACTGTACATTAATCTGGCGTCCAACATTCACCGGCATCGTTGCAATTCTTTTAACACTCTCGAAAAAAAACTATCGATATTTTGTTTATTAGTTTGTAAAAAATACGCTATAAGAAATTAAAGCAGTGAAGTGAAGCCAAGCAATGAATTGAAGCCATTAAAATTTCATGAAAAAAAATGTTTAAAAGGAGGAACAGTTACCTTAGGTGAACTGCTTTAAACCAGAGATCATTATGTATATTTTTTTCCATAGCAAGATAATCTAAGCTTACTGAAACATCAAATTTATCGTTTAAACTATTTGATTGGGTATTATACAAGTAAAATGCTTGACACTTACAAGGCAAGAGTGTAGATAAGATCTGCCCGTAAGCCCCAAACCCAGTGGAAGGGGATTGGGTGTAGGAGCGACACTAAAAACACATAACGTGTTAAAACATTAATAGGCGCATCTCATAAATGAGCAATATCCATTGCTTTACACTGAGGAGTCGTTAGAGTGATTCATCCGCCCACACCGCCTCGGAAGGGGCCCTGTCGAATGCCCCATCAGTGCCAGTAGCCAAGCCTACATGCCTCCGCCGATAACGGGAAGGTGGGCAAGCACTTAGCTTCGCCAATTGGCTACTAATCCGCGGCACCACAAAGAGGTGACTGGCAGATACCGCGGAAAGAACAATTTCATAGTATAGTTCAGAGTCTTCCGTCAGTTCATGTATTTAACTCACAAGCATTCAAAAAGAAAAAAACGCTTCCTCACACTTGAGATACATACCCTCTTCAGAAGATTAAGGGGAAAAATACAGTAAACTTTTTTCTTTCTTTGAATCGCTATTTAATCGGGGAGCTTGTGTGGTTACACCTTAGAATGGAAAGAGCCTTGACCTACACAACAGGCCAAGAAACTAATGAATACCACAGAGAATATAACAAAAGATGGATATATATATATATATATA